GAAGTCAGATAAAGTCAAAAGCTGTTTCCAGCCCCAATCCACACTATCTTCTTTCTTCTTTCCCAGCCACTGCCATTTCTTGTCAAACAGATATTGGAGTTTCCAGGGATCAGAGTTAGGGATATGACAACTTCTCATTGTCCCCAACCCCAATATATCATCTTCTCCAACAGTCTGCTCGTATTGGGAACTTGTCATAGCTTTGCTGGTGGGGTGTGCTGCACAGTCCAACACTGAGTGCAGGAGAGCTTGCAGGCAGGTCAGTGTGCTATCAAGAATGTGTGCAGGGGAGAAAAGACCATTTCTGCAGGGCTCAGGTCAGAGGATAGGATCACTCCACACATATCTTAGGAAAAGACATCAGAAGTGAGATACTGAAACAAAACATAGCTGAGTGGGATAGCCCAGAGGCAGGAGAGAGGAATAAATTTAGGAGTCAAAGGTTAAAATCCATATTCAGGACCTGGGCAATGAGATGCTGACAAACACAGACCTATAACATGGCAGGTGCGAGGATCAGAATTCAATGTGGAGAAGTCACAGTGTGAAAGATGGCAGTCTAGAAAGACAGGCTAAACAGGGAAGAATCCTAGGACTGAGAGATCTGATCAAGTCAAACCCATAAAGGCTTCCAGTATGCCTCTCTCTGCAGGAAGAGAAGGAAATCCCCAGTGCTGGTCTGTAGTTAGGCCTCTCAGACTCCTTTTTACAAGTTACAATTGACATATAGTATTATGTCATATTTGACATATTTCAGGAGCACAATACAGTCTTTCAACATGTATATGCCTTACCAAGTACTCACCACAATAAGTCTCATAATCATCTCCTCTGGGACTTTTTTTAAAAAAATATGTATTTTTTCATTGATTTCAGAGAGAAAGGGAGAGGAAGGGATAGAAACATTAATGATGAGAGAGAATCACTGATTGGCTACTTCCTGAATACCCCCTACTGGGAACTGAGCCTGCAATCTGGGTATGTGCCCTTGACCAGAATCAAACCCGGGACTCTTCAGTCCACAGACTGATGCTCTATTCACTGAGCCAAACCGGTACAGCGTCCTCTTGGACTTTTTAAAGTGAGTTTGACTGGGCCAGCTTAAGGAACCTCTTCCCACTGTCCCTTAGTGCTGAGGAGACAATTTGGAATCACTACCCCATGGAGGAAGAGCTAATCTATGCTGCAAATGAAATGCTTGATAAAGGATGAAACCACACACCTGCACAGATCTGCTGGGAGCCCCACACTGCCTTAGGTGTTCCTGTGATTACCAAAGAAAAGAAAGTCTCAACATTTCAAAAGTCAGAGATCTGAGGCCTGAAATCCAACCCAGAGTGGTGGTTTCAGCTTCCGGAACAGCCCTAGTCCCACTGCTGGCCCCTACTCCCACCCTGGGCTAAACCCAAGGGAGCCCAGATCCCTGCCCTTAGTGGACATCAGTCAACGTGTCACACCAACAGTCATCCTGAAACTAGAGACCGCTGAGAGAAAGGCAGTGGGACCGAAGCTTCAGGGAGGCCTGCCCTCCAATGAGCCTACATAGCACTTCCACAGCACCTGTGCCCAGCTAGGGATGGGGCGGGGACCTGCTGTCAGCGTGTGGCTTACAAAAGCAGTCCAGTTGTTAGTCTCGTGAGAGCTTTGGGATGAAAGCAAATGCCCAACCAAAGAGGGAAACATGCTCTCAGGACAGCTGTGTTATGGCAAAGGCAGGGTTTCCACTGGGAACCCTAGAGGATGAAATGGCACAAAAGTTCCTGCAAACCAGGCTTGTAAGAAGGAAATTAGCATTTCCCATCTGTAGAGGACCAAGACCACACAAAACAACAAGTGAAAAAGTTAATCTGTGTCCAGTGTTTTAATAAATAACTCATTCCATGCTGAGAGGAACCTGTGGGGGAAAGGCAAAACCTGAGGCAGCCATAGAAAACCAGTCACCACGGGGGGCAAGAACAACTCCAACCTCCATGGACACACCTGCCAGAAGCCAGTTTGTAGGGGAGGTGTAGGCTCTACCCTGTGGAGCTGCCACCCTGGGGGCCATCCCACCCAGAGCTGTCTTTGGAAGCAGCCTGACGTGTGTAACAGATGACCTGCCCAGTGGAATCTCATCAGGGGAGTCTGCCTGAGATCACAAATACTCTACACCTGGACAGCTGAGTGCGTTGTGGTTAGGTCTGGCATAGTATGGGTCCAGCCAGGGCTGCTGGCAGCACCGGGGGCAGCCCAAAATCCTCACAGAGCCGCCTCTTGCAGAGCCCCACAAATCTCTACGGTCCAGTCCACAGCTGTCTGGCCACAAAGGAAAAGCCAGAGCTGGAAGCTTCCAACAAGCATTTGGCAGCTGCTGTTCAGCTGTCTCACACCTCCCAAGTCCAGGCAAGAGCAACAGGACCGTCTCTGCCGCTGAAGTCAGTTGGGAGCAGCCTTAGGTTCCGCAGAAAAGCACTCCATTCTCCCCTGTGGCTGCCCCAAGCTGGAACTTGTTCCATCTCTCCAACTTCAGAAACAGCCTCTTGAGAACCTTTTAATCCAAACAAGTGCTCTCTTGCCCTGTTTCCTTTCATGAATGTAAATAGAAAAAAAAACTTGGATGGAACTAGCCATCCCAGGCCTCATCCAATCAGTTTACTCTTCACCCTTTTTAGGGCTACCAGGATGGGGCTCCCCTACTGCCCCCAAAGCAAGCGTGCCAAGGGCAAGAAATGCAGGGAACCCTTGGGCTTCTGCTTGTCTACCCTCCACAAGCTGTGAGGCGAAGGAAAGATATTAATGGGAGGAGTTACCCACTAGATGTTTAATATATATTGTGGATTAATTAAAATGGAAAGGCAGTCTAGCTGGTTTGGCTCAGCGGATAGAGCATTGGCCTGAAGACCAAAGGGTCCCAGGTTTGATTCTAGTCAAAAGCACATGCCCAGGGTTGCAGGTTCGATCCCCAGTAGGTTGATGATTCTCATTATTGATGTTTCTCTCTCTCTCTCTCTCCCCCTCTCCCTTCCTCTCTGAAATCAATTAAAAAAAAATATATATATATATATATATATATATATATATATATATATTTAAGTTTGCTTGTATTATCATCTTAAAGACAAAAAAATGACCCATACACTCCTTTCTTCCCAATCATAAGAGACAGCAGAGAACAGTGGGAATGTCAGGAGATCCTGCTGCTCTCCTTAACTTGCTATATGGCCTTTGGCAGGCTGCTGGACTTACCTCAGCTGTACAACTAGGGGAGGTGGGCTAGATCAGTGTTTCCTATTTATCTGTGACAATAATACTGAATCATGCTTTTTAAAAAGTTCCCTTTTCAATTCTCTTTCAGTTTTTCTAATCATGTCTGGTGTCAGGTTCTATTTGGTATTAGCATATCTTTTTATTTCCTTAAATATATTTTTATTGATTTCAGGGAGAAAGGGAGATGTATAGAAAGATAGAAACATCAATGATGAGAAAGAATAATTGATCAGCTGCCTCCTACATGCTCCACATTGGGGCTCAAGGCATGTGCCCTGACTGGGAATTGAACCATGACCTCCTGGTTCACAGGTTGATGCTCCACCACTGAGTCACATAGGCTGGGCTTAACATATTTTTTAAATACCTCTCTCATATGTCTTGCTAATCTTTTGAACAAAGAGAAAGGTGGCCTCAGGCTTAGAATATTCTGTGACAGGCCACAGTATTAAGCTAGGATCTAATAACCATGCTTTGTTATTACTGTGTTTATTTCCATAACTACCTTTAAATATATAGCATATGATATTGGTTGCCATATATGATAGCGATTTAACTTTTAAAGATTTATTTATATCAATTTTTAAAAGGAGGGTTAGTTCACAGAGAAGACACAGTAGATAATATGCTACAGGTGGCAAAAATTATGTAGGCAGCATTAGAAGTTTTGGAAACATGGGGCTAGAAGATTTTTAAAGCCTCTCGCAGTCCTCAGAGTGAATGTCGGTGTCTTCAAGTGTCAGGTGCAGCTCTCACCCCAGACCCCTTCTTACAGGATTCCTCTCAAACGTCACCTCCTTCCTGGAGCTTCTGATCCCGCAGGCTGGTTACAGTTCCTCACTCCACTCTGCTCCCAGAGCACGTTTACATCCATGGGTTGCAGCATTTATTACTCAGGACTAAAGCCTTCCCTTTACGCTTCCTTCCCTTTGAGAACATGAGCTCAATGCAAGAACTATGTCCTTGGGATTTTATTCCCAACACATATGACATTCTATCTCTATTACAAAATAGGTGCTTGCTGAGTGTATGCTGAATGAACCAATGCTTCTGGCCTTTTTTCACTCAACGAGAAGACAAAAGACAGTGGAAGAAGAATGTTGCCAGAAATTCACTTGCCATGTTTCCAATTTAACACCTCTTAGCACTTATGCTAGAAGTTAGAACTCTCACTATTCTTACCTCATCTTTAAACACTAAATTAAATAAGAATCCATGAATCTGTTTCAAAGAGGAAGTAGGTAAAATGGATGGAGGGACAGAGATGGCTATAGAGATGGTTATATTCTTGATGAAGCAAGTAGAGTAAAATGTTAATGGTAGAATCTAGGTAGTGGGTATATGAGTATTCACTATATGCTTCTTTCAACTTTGCTTTATGTTTAAATTTTTTCATAATAAGCTAGTAGGAGAGAAGAAGTATACTTAAAAGCATCAACACAAATTCTGAGTCATAACTACGCTGCCTGTCCTCTGAGCTCAAACACCAGAGCGAGCTTGGGAAAACCTGATAGTTTTAGAACTCTTGCTCATCATCGACACTTTCCTGCACAGGTAAGCAGAGCTCAGGTGCTGACCTGGACCTTGTTGGCACAAGGAGATATAGGCAGAGGACAGACACCCAGAAGTTCCACCTGAGAAGTACCAACCCCACAGGGCTATGACATCATCATCTCTATGCTGGAAAAACCTCAGAGAAAAGGTTCAAGCTAAGGAACAGGCAGGTGAAGAGTGGAGAAGTGGCACACACTCACTCATGGACTCTGCTGTCACCATAGAGGTCGCTGAGGCCGAAGCTGATGTAGTGCCAGTGTTCGGGGATATTGGCAGAAGGGCTCCCCACGTTCCTGTACATGCTAACATAATCCAAGGGGTCTGGGCCACCCAACCTGCAAAAGACAAAACACAGGATTGTTAGTGTGAATCTGAAAGCAGACAGTGTGAAGCTAAGGGATGTCTTACAAACCTGAAGGGCCCCAAACTGAAGGAAACTGGGGTGAAAGATAACTAAAGGGAGGCCACGCCTCTCTGGGATAAGACCATGGGATAAGTGGCTAGAAGTTGTCTAATTCCCCACGCATGACAGACTCCTTCCTCCTATCCCCAACAGGTAGGACCTCTTTTAGAAGTAAAACAGACTGGATGGTTGCCCCTTTTGCTTCCTCTTGTTTCAAACTACCAATCCCAAATGCGATTGGCAGGGATTATCTCTCCCTCATGGTGCCTGTAAACACGCTATGCTTCAAGGCAAGAGGTGCATCTGTCAATCCCATTGGCCTCTGTTGAAAGACTATCCTCAGCATCCCCAATGGGCACTGTTCCTGGAAGCAGAGGCTCAGCTCCACTCTTGCCTCTTAGACAGACTAAACTGTGCCCTTCGTTAATTAATTTTGTTGTAAACAAACCCAATGCCTTCAGATCCATGCCTGTACCCCACAGACCAAAGCTGGTTGTTTGGGAAAACTTTTTAATCCTCACCCAAGGACATTTTTTTAATTGATTGATTGAAAGGGAGAGAGGGGGGAGGGTAAAGAGACATCAATCAATTGCCTCCTGCACATGCCCTGACTGGCCAGGGATCGAACCTGCACCCTAGACATGTGCCCGACTGAGAATCGGACTACAGCCTTTCGGTGTACAGGACAATGCTCCTATCAACTGAGCCACACAGTCAGGGCCCAAAGCTGGTCTTTCATCATGCAAATGACAAGAGCCAAACCTGGTCTAGCTCACCTCAGCACAGATAAAGATAACTGCAGCAGAAGCCAGGCTGAGCCCTGTGAGCTCCAGAACTGGAAGATGACCCTAGCAGACTACCATCTCAAAGGTAGAACTGTATATTAAATTATTTGGGGCCTCTGAAGACCACATTAAACTTCCCACATAATTCCAACTGAAAGGCAGTGGAGGAAGAGATTCAGTCATTACCTCACTCTGAGGATTTAATTCAATAAGAATTCCCTTTTGTAGACCAATTAGTGCTCTCTTTTTCTTAAATCCTGCTTTTCTTCAGAATGGATAGGGAAACTGGTAGACTTGAGAAACAGATGAAATAAATGGAAACCATCAGTGGAAGGAAGTCTGCAGTTAGCTCACAGACACTCTGCATTTGAGCTGCCTCGGTCATCTGACTGTTCCACAGACTGCAAAAACTTTGCTGCTCCTGGGACATTGATGGAGTGCGCTTTGCAACTGGGTTCATATGCTAAAGGAACACTGACAACCAAATAAAAGGCATGCTTATGTGTGATCCCAGCAAGCACGCCAACACCATGCAATTAAAGCACTATTTAAAACCAGTAGGTCTCTTTTCATCCTCTTTGCCAGGATATTATTTGCTTTAGTAAAAATCCTTATTCTCCGCTAAGAAATGCTGTTATTTCTAGAACTTGTAAAAAAAAAAAAAAAAAAAAAAAAAAAAGTTGCTACAAATAGCTTAGAATTTCAACTGAGTGGATTAGAAAAAAGGACAAATCTCCCTGTCTTTCTTTAACTCAGATTTTGCCAAAATCATCTAATTCCACAACCAGTTGGATTTAGGAGAGCTTGCCGGGGAAGGGAAAAAAGCAAAGAGCAGCTAACTCTGAAAGGACCCTAGGACAGTGCAAAGCCCAAGAACAGATGGAGTGACTACAAGCTCCATGTATGCTCCACTGTCCTGCTGCAAAACCCCAGTCCTACCCTCCTTCAGCTTTGGTCCACCCAGCAACAAGTGACAAAACTGCATCCACCATTCCATGCTTCACCTGCCACTCCACAACAACCCTCTTTCTGGCCACGGCTCCCAGGACGCACTTTCAAAGAGAGAGACTTTACCCTAAAACTCCAACTGTAGGGAATGACCAAGTGTCAGACCAAACGAACCTCATCCCCAGGCACAGACAGTTCTGTTCTACTTACTCAGAAACCTGATGGGAAGCAGATGAGTATGCAGAAAATTTTCATATTCTGTACTTAGAAAAGATGTTATCCAAGGACCCAGCATCCTTCAACTTAGTACCCTGAACACCTGACTTCACTCCCCAGGACTAGAGTAGCCCCAGAGCACAAGCTCTGCCTCTCTGCTTCTGATCCCTACTCACCGAAGTCTCAGCTTTCAGAATGTCCTTGCTGACCAGGGTCCATTAGCCAAGAGCCACCCTTTTGTTGCAAGAAAAGGAATCCCAAGATACATTGGGCCACAGCCAGACTCAGGCAGCCTCAGTCAGTCATCCTGTTAGGAGAACTAAAGAGGCCTTGGTGGAATCCCAAATGGAGGAATCCCAAATTAAATCGATGGATTAATTTCAGAGTCTTAATCATGCACAATCCTCCAAATCTAAAAAGAACTAGCTTCCAAGCTGTCTCCTCTTATATTTTCCCGAATCTAGGAAGCATTTCTAATTGCAAAGAATGCTGTACAGTTGCCTTGACTCATCATTAGAATTTAGTCCATCTCTGAAAATAAGTCCTGCCTGGTTAACAAGCTTGCAACAGGAGGGAGGGGGGCAAGTTTCCCAAACTAGTCTTTGTCCTTTGCCTGTGCTCCCATACCTTTTACACACAACTCTATGCTTCATGGCCACCTTTTACACACAACTCTATCCTTTGGAGACAAAGACAGTCACCCAAGTCTGTGTAGCAATTCCTCTTTACACTCAAATGAGGCCTGAACAAACAGCAATGGCAGAGCCAGGCCCACTTTTCTCATGACACAATCCGGGAGAGTTCAACACAATACGTATTTAAATACAGAGGTGCAATTAGAATGGGGATTAAGTTATCAAGAGCTGCTTTTCATTCAGAAGCTCTCTTCATAAACTCGTCTCAACCCAAGAATTGTACCACTGGCCACACCTCCTGGCCACCAGACAGAAGCAGGCTGCTCCCCGTGGCTCTCCCTAAGGAGCAGGTGGCTGGTCCTCCACACTGTCCACCCCTTCACATGCTCCAGTCCTCCGGAGCCTACCTTCTGCCATTTCTGGAGGAAGACATTGTCCTGGGGGAGACTCAGTCCTAAAGCGAGAGGTAACCAGAAGAGACATCCACTCACTGCCCCCCGCCCACCCCCCGCCCACCCCGTCTAGCCTATCTATGGCCACACCCCAAGCAGCTAGCTGCCTGAACAGTCTTTCAGGGCTCCATGAAGGGACCATCTTAACACACTGCCTGCAAGAATGTGGTTCTGGACATATTCAACCAATCTCTCAGTCAACTTTTGGTCCAGAAAGATCATAAAGATAGGCTCTTTTCTTTCCCACTGTTCCCATAACGCCCGTTTTGTCCTGAGGCTGCAGGATGAAACAGGAATGGGAAACTAGACAAGACCATTCCTACTTCAAGGCCAGCCCCTCTGCAAAAGGTCTGATCCTTAACGGAGATCCTTCAGAGACCCCCTGAGGAACTGCTGCCTGCATCCTGAAGCTTGTGGCTAGGAAGCTCCTCCGAATCTCACCGCCTTCCCCCCACCCTGTCCGAGGCCCACACTTGGAGGGTTTCCTCTGGTCCCCTTCGATCCCCAGCCAAGCCCTGGCTCTCCCCGGCCCTGCCTCTGCCCTGGCCAGTGCCATAAAGGAAAGCAGCTGCAGAGCTAGAAGCTCGGCACGAGAACTGTGCGGAGTCAGCACCAAGTTTATCGGGGGGACGGGGGGGGGGGGGGGGAGTTGTCTCGTGAAACTTAGGACACAAAAGCACGGCGCTGACACGATGTCTGAGCTCCCCAGGAAAGCAACAGAAAGGCTGCCCTCCTCCTCCTCCACCGCTTCCCAAGCGCACCGCTCACAGCGAGCGCCCCTCCTCACCCAAAGCGGAGCCCGGGGCCCCAGACCCGCCTCGGACCCGGACCCGGGCCAGTCTCCTGCCCTCCAGCTCCGCCAGCCGCGCTCCTGCAAAGCCCCCGCCGCTGCAAAGCCCCGCCACGGCTCCCTCGCCCCCGCCCCGCCGTCCCACTCCCACCCCCGCCCCGGCCCGCCCGCGGCCCCGGCCCCGTGCAGCCGCAACCCCCTCCGGGCTTCCCCTGGCCCGCCCGCTGGTGACCCCCTGCAGGCGCCCCCTCCTTCCACCACGTTTACAGTCCCCCCTCTCCTCCCGACCCCCCTCGGCTCCCACACACACACACCCCCAATTCACTCCGTTCTCCAAACCCCCTTAACCCTTCAGCCTCCGCAGCCCCGTCAGCCACTCGCTGCCCGCAGCCTTCTTTAACCCCTTTGTCCCCGTTCCTAACCGGAGCCTTAACTCCCTTCCTCCCAGCAGGAAGCCCTTCTTCCCAGTGCTTTAACCATCCCCCCTCCTCCCCCTCCTCCCCTTTCTCCTCCTCCTCCTTTTCCTCCCTCGCAAACTACTTCGCCGCGGGCGCTTAAACTCCTCGCGGCCCGCCGCCGTCCCCCGCGGCCCGGGCCCCGTACCAGTACTTGACGATGGCGGTGACCTGGAGCGGGTTCGGCTGGTCCGGGTACAGGCGGCGGCACTCTCCGTAGATGGCGTGCAGCCCCGGGGGGAAGAGCGAGGCGAAGGCCGGCGGGGCGGTGGGGCCGGGGGCCGGGGGCGCGGTGGGGCCGGGGGCGCCGCTAGGCCGCAGCTCCGCCATCCCGGCGCTGGGAGGACCCGGGAGGACAGACGAGCGAGCGCGAGGGCACTGACGCGCCGGCGGCGGGCGGACCCCGGAGGTGTGACTCCCAGAGGCGCTGGGGGCTGCGGCGAGAGCTGGGACCCGCGCCTGCGCACGGCGAGCCGTCCGCCCAGGCCGCGGCCGCCGCCGAGCGGGCCCGAGAGCGCCTGGGGGGCCGCGGGCCGCTCAAGGGGGCGGGGCCCCGGCGCGCCCGATCCCGGACCCCATTGGCTGACGTCCGTGCCAGTCACAGAGGCGGCGTGCCTCGGCAGTAAGTCTCGCCTCCCTCTGTAGGCGTCCCAAAGCTCTTGGCCTCCCCCTAGTGTTAGGAGGAACCCAGGTTTCAATGGAGATGTGCAGCATCCTTCTGAGGTGCTAGGGTCCCTCAAAAGCACTGGGAAGTGCGCCAACAAAGGACCTGTCACTGGTTTGCTGACTCGCAAACCTTATTTATTAAATATAAACTAGAGGCCCAGTGCACGAAATTCCTGTGAGAGCGCACTGACCACCAGGACCGGTTATTCTGCCCTACAGTCGATTTGCATATCAGCCTTTTATTATATAGGATATAGCAATGGGCTGATTCATTCGTCCATGTGGCATTAGTGTTTTGTTTTGTTTTTTATTGATTTCTGAGATGGGAAAGGGGAAGAGAGAAACATCAATAAGAGGGAATCATTGATCGGTTGCCGCCTGCACACCCCCTATCAGGGACAGAGCCCATAACCCAGGCATTGCTCTGACTAGGAATTAACTGTGACCTGGCTTATAGATTGAAACTCAACCACAGAGCCACACACTATGGGCCATGTGACATTAGTTTTAATAGATTATAAATCTAAATGTTTCCTATGTCTTTGAATGTCCTTTGATCATACTGATTGACACACTGCCAAATTCAGGGGTCCTATGTCAAAATACCTATTTTGGAGTTCTGTCAGAAAGTAACAAGAATTGGCCTGAGGGCATGGCTCAGTGGTTGAGCATCAACCTATGAACCAGGAAATCACGGTTAGATTCCCAATCATAGCACATGTCTGGTGGCAGACTCGATCCCCAGTGTGGATGTGCAAGAAGCAGCCAATCAATGATTCTCTCTCATCAATGTTTCTCTCCCTTTCGCTTCCTCTCTGAAATCAATAAAAAATATATATTTTTAAAAAGGAAAGTTTAAAAAACAGGAAAGTAACAATTAAGTAAACCATGATCAATTCTTAAAATGATAATCATTTACTCAATATTTTTAGTGATGATAATCTATTCTTTGTTGTGTTTTAGGCATATATATATGCAGATTGCCTTGAGGAATACCAGTATTCATTATCTACTATGTGCCTGCTCTTCCCTATTACTCTGACTTTCTTAATGGGAGAATTTTTAATTCCTAACGCACCTGCTTGGGAATTATTTTCCTGTTTACAATAACTTTTCCCAAAAAGTAATGTCTTCCACTCAATGATCTTAAAGAATCCCAAGAGACAGGGATAGAATAGTGCTATTAGCTAAAAGGGTTCCTGCAACTTGAATCGGGGAAGGAAATAATCTAGAGAAAAATGTGCTGAGCTCATTTGAAAGCAGTGACGCATAACTTCTCTTCATCTCTATATTCTCATTTATCAGTGCCAATTATATGCCAGTAGTTCCAAGTGCTAGTCTTCATACAAATGAATGTTAGCCTCCTGCAAAGTTTACTCCTATCCAGGAAAATATACAAAAAGAAAAAAAAAAAGTACTTGTATGCAATTTAAATTATTTTCCTTTGTTCTGGGAATATGCCCTTCCCCATGGGTATTAAATTCTTTATTAGAGTGTTGATAGTGATCGATATTTATTAATGTCTTATGAAATGGCTATCATCAATAAATCAACAAATAAAAACATGGTAATCAGCTCTAGCTGGTTTGACTCAGTGGATAGAGCGTGAGCCTGCTGACTGAAAGTTCCCAGGTTCAATTCCAGTCAAGGGCACATGCCCAGGTTGGGAACTTGATCCCCAATAGGGGGCATACAGAAGGCAGCTGATCAATGATTCTCTCTCATCATTGATGTTTCTCTCTCTCTCTCTCTCCCTTCCTCTCTGAAATCAATTAAAAAAAATGTTTTAATGGAATTGCCTTATGACCCAACAATTATATTTCTGGGAATTTATCTGAAGAAACCCAAAGACTAATTTGAAAGAATATGTGCACCCCTATGTTCTTTGCAGCGTTACTTACAATAGCCAAGATTTGGAAGTAGCCCATCAGTAGATGAGTGGATAAAAAAGCTGTGGTACACATAGGAAAAGAGAACTGAATGGGACCCTTTTTCCCTCCACCCATGGGAGTCCATTCTGTGGGACTCTCTCCCTCTCCCCATGTGGGTGTCTGTACTTGTTCTTTAATAAAGCTCCACCTTGGCTGCACTAAAAAGGAAGAAGAAAAAGAAGAAAAAGCTGTGGTTCATCTACACAATGGAATACTACTGAACAGTAAAAAAAAAAAAAAAAAAAAAAAAAAAAAGGAATCTTAGGGTTTGTGACAGCATAGATGAACTGGAGAGTCCTACTGTAAGTAAAATAAGCCAATCAGAGAAAGACAAGTACCATATTATTTTACTCACTAGAGGCCTGGTGCATGAAATTTGTGCCCAGGTAGGGTCCATAGGCCTGGCCGGGATAAGAACCAATTGGGCCATCCTTCATTCTGTACCGCCCCCTGGTGGTCAGCGTACATCATATGAGCGGTCAACTCTCCATGGGACAATTTGTCGCTGGTCGGTGCAAATTGTCCCTGGTAGGTGTAACTCCCCATGGGACAATTTGCATATTAGCCTTTTATTACATAGGATATGTGGAATCTAATGAACAAAATGAACTAACAAGTAAGATAGAGACTCATAGGTAGCAGGCTGACAGTTGGGGAGGGGAGTGATGTGTGTGGAGGGATTGAGCAAAAAAGAAAAAACTCATGGACACAGATAATAGTCTGGTGATTGCTGGGGGAGGGTATGGGGGGAAAAATGATGATACAGGAGACTTGACTTGGGGTGGTGAACACACAGTGTACAGATGACATGTTGTAAAATTGTGCATCTGAGACTTGTGTAATTTTGGTCATCCTAATAAATTCAATAAAAAGTGGGGGTGGGGGGGAAATCTGCTTCCCTTGTATTTACCCATGGAGACTACAAAACCCAGGGTACTGTGTCACTCCATCTCTTAAAACTAGGTGTGGCTCGGAAACTGCCTGGCCCTCTAACCTCAGTTGCAAGGCATGCTGGGGGTTGTAGTTCTTTGAAGGCAAGATCGGGCCGCTCCCTCTCCGCCCTGCACCGGCGGCTAGTCTGCGCATGCGTGTCAGTGGCACTAGCAGCGAACCGGGCAGGCAGTTCCTTCCTCGGAGGGAGAGATTCCTCTGCCATGGAGTCCTACGATGTTATCGCCAACCAGCCTGTGGTGATCGACAACGTGAGTTGCGTCTTTTCTATCTCTAAAGGGACTTACGCTGTCCTCCCCGAAGGGATCGCTTCCCGATGCCGCCGGTTCTTTGTCACTGGCCAGGCCTGTCAGGCGGGTTCAACCACCGCTGCCTCCATCCTATCCCCACCCATAGTCCGCAGGCAGGGGGGGCCGGTCGGCAACCATGGGTTGGAGCGCTTTGGGGTGAATAAAGGAAAGACTTGTCAGTCCGAGCCGGGTCCTTGGGCCCGGGGCTCCAGGGGCCTTAACCGCTCAGTGAGCTTCGGTACCCACCCCTTCCCAGTTCTCGGTAACTCTATTGGCTGCTTTGGCTGTCGATCTTGACCGGTGACCCCGCCTCCGAGCCTTGCCGGATGAGGGCTAACCTCTGCAGTGATTGGCTTACGCCCCTGCAGTTCTTCCGGGCCGCCATCATGTTTCTCAGCTCTAAGGGGCGGGGCGCTGCCAGAGGGCTGTTGGGATTGGCTTCCGGAACTTTCCGTGGTGGGGTCTGACGGACTCGGGCCCGCCCGCCCGCGGGTGGAGAAGGGCTAAGTTTCCTTCTGTCCAGAGCCGGGCAGCTAGACTGTGCATTTGGGTGGGGTCCGAGGATATGATGCTGGAAATGATCATAGGATTTCATTTATTTCTGAGATTGTAAATCACCGCGTTAATCATGGTCGACAGGCTAAAAGAGGAACCAAGCAAGCGGGGACGCCTAGTTGCTGGTGAAAATATTTGCCAGGGTCTCTGGAGCTTACGGAGGAGTTTCACATTCGTTCGAATTAGATCCTCACAAAAACTGGGTGGATGGCTAAGGCAGGAAGTTTGATTCTCATGTTATAAATGAGAAAATGGGAGCGCGAAGAATTAAAGTGAGCCCAAGGTCACCCTAAATCCAGTGCTTTATTCGTTTTTCCTCTTGCCAGAACGCCACGAAAAGGCATAAATAGTGACAGATGGAATCTAAGTAATGCTCTTATTGTGGGCAGAGGGGGACAGTTGTAAAACAACTGCAGTTGTAGGTTTAGTCCCACCGAGGTCGGTTGACCTTTTCTGTGCCACTTCCAAGTCCTTTGAGGCAAAACTACCAGTTCCCTCTGTCCTGGACCCACTGTCAGATTCGCTCCGTTGACTCAGCCCTTGGGACTTTAGGCAAGTTAGAAGGTCCTTTCATTGGCATCGTCTCATTTAAGCTTCCGATCCGGTAGGTAGATGGGAATGACTAACCCAGATGATGCAGGCAAGTGAGGCCTGGAGAGGTTAAATAACAGTATTCAGACCGCCAGGTTCGTGAGTTGAGGAGCTGAGACTCAAATTGAGATCTGGTGCCAAGTTTCTCACTTTTTTCAAGGAAAGGAGTTTTTGTTGTTAGCTTTCCTTCTCTCTAGGAGTATGGCTTCTGACTTAAAAAGCAGGAGGTTGAGTTCAGTGAGACACCACCATTTGGGGAGAATTGGGGGGGGGGGGGTTCCAGTCAGAGATCATGCCTGTGTTGCAGGCTCAATGGCATGAATCAATGATTCTCTCTCATCATTGATGTTTTTCTCCCTCTCTCTTCCTCTCTCTGAAATCAATAAAAAATATTTTTTTTTACAAAAATACTGCCTTTGTGGCTATAGGAGCCTAAATGCAGGAACAGTATCAATAAGAGTTTTACTGCTTTGGGGAATGTTGTGCTGCTTCAGCCCCCTTTAAAAAAAAAAAAAATGAAAGACATTAAACCTAAAGAAAAATTCAGAGAGGTATATAATGAGCACCTACATAGCATGTGTCTGCCACCCATATTTAATAAATGTTGATATTTACCATATTTGCAGGAATGTAGACCCAGTGTTGCCAGATCTGATTTTTCAAGATAAATTGGAAATTTTAAATGTTATATGAGTCTCCAGTTTTTAACTGTCAGAAGTTAATGTAAAGGTAGTTTGTGGTCTATAGATACCGAGAGTAGGTTAGTGGTTGTCCAGGACTAGGAGTGGGAGAAGAGGGATAAGATGGAGAGTGACTGCTGATGGATACAGAGTTTCTTTGGGGGATGATGAAAAAGTTCTAAAATTAGATTATGGTAATGATTGCATAATTCTACAAATATACTACCCTATTTCCCCGAAAATAAGACAGTGTCTTATATTAATTTTTGCTCCCAAAGATGCACTAGGTCTTATTTTCAGGAGATGTCTTATTTTTCCATGAAGAAGAATACAGTACACATTTATTGTTAAATGAAAATAAAGGAAATTTATTACCTGTATACGGTACGGTAGTATGGTAGTTGTCACGGTAGTTGTCAACACAAACCAGACAAACTGTGAATCCTACAGTATCAAGAATTTACTCATTTATTCAATGACAATCATGTCATCATCTTCTGGAACATCATCATAACAATCCAATTCCTGGATTTCCTGGTGAATTTCTTGTGACTCCTAGGGGGCCTTATTTTCGGGGGATGCCTTATATTTCACTCAGAAGGAAACCTGTAAGTAGGTCTTATTTTCGGAGGATGTCTTATTTTTGGGAAAACATAGTAAGAACCATTGACTTATACACCTTAAATGGGTAAATTGAATTTTATGTCAATAAAGTTGGGTGTGTTTTTTTTTAAGTACTTTGTGGGCCAAACATAATATGTCTTTGGGCCCAAAATGGCCAAAATCCTAGAATCTGAGGCTCCATCTTGTAGCATCCTTTTCCCACTTGTAAAATGGGAGACAGTTTTCTTTTCTGCATGTCTAGAATAATCATTGAGCTTAGAATAAAGGTCACCCAAGCCATACGGCCTGCAGCCAGCAGGTACTGGGAGAGCCTTGCTAAGGGGTTTGCTATTTGTTTGCCTGCAGTAGCAGGAGAATGAATATTCGGTCAGCAGTGGCTGGCAGCAGATTGGAGTCCTCAGAAATCCAATGTTTAAGGAGGCTACTTTTTCAAGAAGCCTCTACAAGGCATTCGTTTACTTGGTTTTGCCACAGTGAATAATAGAGTGGCAGCCCATTTGCCAAGTATACAGTTCCTAGTTAAATACTGTTAAAGAAATTGATTACCTTCATATATGATCTCATGGTATGACTTGAGCAGAATAGAGAAATGAGACATCCTGGTGCCTAACTCTGGCAACACAGAAGGAGGAAACCATCTCCCTCCGCCCCACCCATTCTTCACCCAACTGCTGGCCTGGCAGCCCAGCTCGTGGGGCTGCAGGAACAAGCTGGGTCTGGTTCCTGGGTCTTGTGCATCTTCCCAACATTACCTTGGTCTTTCCTGCCCCACCTCTGCCTGGGGCTTTTGGCATTCCCGCTGCCTATTCAGGTTCCATATATTAGACATCATCTGCCAAAAATGAGCTTGATTTTCATTTTAGTCATCCAGCGTCTATTTGAGTACCCTGCAAATGCCAGCTACTGCTGATATATAAAGTCTCTGACCTCGAGGAACTTAGGCTGAAAAGAGACATAAATGGAAACCATAAAGTCAACTATGAGAGCAGAACGAAACGAGTCTACCTAGTGGTATAGGTAATGGTGATTTTGTGAGATAATAGGACGAGGATAATTAATCCCACCTAGGAACAGTTCTTCAGGAGGAAGGCAGTGGTATTTGAACTGGGCTTGTTATAGTCTTGCTAGGAAGGTCAGAGAGGAGGAAATGAACCTATCATCTTACTCTGCCTTGTCACTTAGACTCTAGTCCTTTTGCTAGTAAACACAAAGTCAAATATCCAGGGAAATATTTAGAGTCTGAGGTACAGGTCTCATCTTTACCCTTCTTTTTTCAACCTGTGCCAGGAGATCCCATGAGTCTGTTGGCATCGCCACACCCAGATGAAGGCAGCGAGCAATTATAGGAAGCTTGAACTGACATGCTCCCGGAGTTCTCTGGTGCAGCACTGTTCTCACTCCCATGCCGCTGTCCCAGAGCCCAGTGTTTGCAGTAGGGGAGTTCTTCCTTCTCCCAGTCTTCAGCTCTGTGTATAGCTGCACCTTTCCCAGGCTTCTTGCTGTTCTGCTCAGGCCGATGAGTTTGCCCTTAACCCCCATTTTCTCTCTTTCCTATTGGCAGAGGTTCTTGCTGTCTTAGAGAACTGGCTTGCTCTGCTCACCTTACTGCTATCCCTGTCCTTCAGCCACTTCTTACTTACTGCCTGTGATGCCGGAGTCAGGCACCAGGATGGCCCATCTCAACCCCTTCCCTCAGAGAAGAGCAGAAATAAGAGACAGGGAGGGAACCAGGGATGTTGCTGGGAAGCCTTTGGTGCAGACAACCTTGGCTATTTAGTGTCTCCTGATATGTTTACTGTTTGCATGTGGGTTCTGGAAATATCACATTCCATCCCAGGATTAGTAGCCCTTGGTGACAGGCAGCAGGAAAGGTTTGCCCCCAGTTAGCTGCAAACTGTGTTGGGCTGGAAGGACAAGGGTATCGGCTGTGGAGGTAGAAGAGCTGAGAAGGGAGAGAACAGGTTATATCTGCAAACAATATCAAGCCTCAACGACTGCCCTGCGTGGAGCTGGTATCTGTGTGTATAGAATCAGTGTTTACTTTGGTTGGGCTCAGGGTGGTATCAGAGATGCTGGAGGGAGGAGTCGGGTTCTTTTCTGGGCATCCCACCCAGCGTACCAAGGATTGGAGCAGCAGGATTGTAATGTTGGGTCTCTTCTCTCCTCAGACAATGGTTTAGGCCTCCTTATCATCAGGAGACCTACAAGTGAGTAAAACAAAGCAGAGTAAAAAAACACAACAATAACCACAAACCCCTACAAAGCAGAGGGTCTGTCCCTGCAGTAAGAAGCAGACAGTGTGTGTTCCGTGGGAGTGCTCATGGTGGTGTCTGTCATACACCTGGGGGCAGGGAGAGTTCCGACATCTGGTGGTGTATGACTGAGTCATACCATCTTCCCACCTTGGTTGTGTTCCTGAACTTGGCTGCTTTGGTGCTTCTAGCTACTTTCCTCTTCTCTCCTCAGGTTTTCTCTTTCTCTCCCCGTTATTAATATTGGGGGAGAGGGGATATTTTTAAGGGGAATCAAACCATTTTATTGAGGACCTTTAGGGGACGGTTGAAGCCCGGGAGGCCAGTGAGATCTGGCATTCTCAGCCCACCGGGACCTCCCAGCTTCTCACTCACCGGAAAGCTATTAACATTATGTTTAATGCCAAAAGTAAAACATGTTCAGTGTAGAAAAGTCAAAGAATACAGAAAAATCAATTGATACTCTGAGTGTACAGTGAAAGTTCTGACCTCTCCAGTCTCACTTCCTTCCCTTTGGCATGCATTCACTGTACAAATGCTTATATAGATAGATATATCATATACAACTCTAAGGTTTCTCACTTAAAATAAAAATAGAACCATAGCCGAAACCGGTTTGGCTCAGTGGATAGAGCATCGGTCTACGGACTGAAAGGTCCCAGGTTCGATTCCGGTCAAGGGCCTGTACATTGGTTGCGGGCACATCCCCGATAGGGGGTGTGGAGGAGGCAGCTGGTCGATGTTTCTCTCCCATCGACGTTTCTAGCTCTCTATCCCTCTCCCTTCCTCTCTGTGGAAAAATCAATAAAATATTTATTAAAAAAAAAATAGAACCATATACATGCTGTATGATATAAATCTCTTGTTTTTGTGATACTTCTGACTTTTCTTTCTCCTTTTTCCTTAGGGGTCCGGTGTGATTAAAGCTGGTTTTGCTGGTGATCAGATCCCCAAATACTGTTTTCCAAACTAGTAAGTCATTCTGTAACTTAGAAGCTTAGAAGGTTGTCAGCTTTGTTGCAGGCTCAGCCCTCCATCCTTTAAGGAGAAGGGATCTGTCATTCAGGACAGCCCTGGTACTCAAAACAACAAGCAAAGGACAGGAGCTGGCTTTTGGAGGAAGCCAAGGGGACAGCCTACATAGTACAATTGGAGAGGCACTGGCAGATTTTATCTGATGCCAAAAATGTTCTCATCAGGAACTCATTGCTTTGGGTGACTGTCTCTTCATGGAGCCCTCTTTCTAAAACTCTCCTGTCACCCAGGATGGGGTTAACTATGAAGCCATACCTTTAGCCTTAATGAGAATGAGTTCTCGGGACTCTCCTCCTCAGGCAGAGAGACTGCAGAGGAGGGCAGTTAGGAGTGATCAGGCCTGCGGGGGAGGGTAGTTATGGGAGACCAGGCCAACAGGGGAGGGCAGTTAGGAGCAGTCAGGCTGCAGGGGAGCAGTTAAGTGTAGATCAGGCTGGCAGGGGAGTGGTTAGGGGATGATCAGGCTGGCAGGCAGGTGAACGGTTGGAAGCCAGCAGTCCTGGATTATGAGAGGGATATTTGACTGCCGCTTAGACACGATTCCTGTCCAATAGGGCCTAACCCTACAATCAGACATATCCCTCTAGTATAAAAATAAAACATAAATAATACATGTTCATTGTAAAAATTATGGGAAATGCAGAAAAGGAGAAATAAGAAAAATCAACTGTAACTTCCCTCCTTGAAGATAATCACAGTAGCATTGAGTATATTTCTTCCTAAGTGTGTGCCTCTATAGAACTTTCCTGTGTTCTGCCATGTGTTGTGAAATGAAAAGTGATGGGTCCTCCCCACTTTCTTTTGTAGTGTGGGCAGACCCAAGCATGTTCGTGTCATGGCAGGAGCCCTCGAAGGTGACATCTTCATTGGCCCCAAAGCTGAGGTAATTCCCACCCCTCGAGCTAACAGAAGACCTTCTTTAGTCCCCACATGGACAGTGTCCCAGCAGAGGGACATAGCGATGAGTAAAAAGAGTGATTTCTTCTTAAAATCTCCCCGTTAGGTCTCTTATCCTAGGCCTCATCCATTTCTTTCTCCCAGGAGCAGCTTCTGGTTTTGGAAAGAAAACACTAATTTGTGAAACAGACAGCAGCCTAGGACACAGAGCTTCTGCCTTCCTTTTGTATTCTGCCATTACCTTGCCAATAATCAAAATGACTGGCGTGGTTATTTTTTGGCAAAAAGGATTGGGGGGTAGATCCTGGCTGGGGTACCCTGGGGATGAGTTAATTAACAGTTTGGCAGAGCCTCTAGAAGCAGAACAACAGAATCATAGTTGCCAGCCTTGCTCCAAGTGCTGAGACCCAGAGGCGGGGGCCAGGAGATTATGTCCTGGGATCAGGCAATGAAGAGGGTGTTTCCTGTCATTTGCCCTGAGGACATCCAAGGGTCCATGGAAATGCAGAAGCCCTCTACTCTGCCTGCTGATTGAGCAGTGAGAGCATTCTGCAGCTGTACAGTTGGAGATTTGGAGAATGAACGGGTACCTGCCCTTAGCCCTAGGTGAGGGCTGTGGGATGGGAACTCCCAGTTCTAAAGAGCAGGGTTCACTGGCCAGCTCAGCTGAGAGACTAGCTGCTGCTGTAAGTCCTGCTCTCTTTCCCCAGGAGCACCGAGGGCTGCTGTCCATCCGGTATCCCATGGAACATGGCATTGTCAAGGACTGGAATGACATGGAGCGCATCTGGCAATATGTCTATTCTAAGGACCAGTTGCAGACTTTCTCAGAGGAGGTGAGGTTCTGTGTGGGGGGCAGCCCTGCAGGGAGTGCAGAGCAGAGTCTCAGAGATGAGAAAGATGACAATAGCTGCCGAGAGTATTTGAGTCTTAATTATGTACCAGGCATCAGACCATGTGCTTTTTAGACATGTTTGCATTTAATCTTCACACTATTCCTATGAGATGTAGGTAGTATTCTCTCTAGTTTACAAACAGGGGGACAAGTTCAGAAAAGCCAAGTAGTGTTTCCAAGATCACTCAATGAATAAAGTAAAGCTGGGATTCAAACCCACATCTTTCAGATTTCAGAGAGTATACTCTAACTTCTAAGGAGTAACTCTCCACTCAGAAACACCGAGGAATGTGCAGACTAGGTGGACCAGAATTTCCAGGGGAGAGATATGTTCTAATTTTTAAAAGTACATTCAATATTAAAATTTAACTTTCTATTTTTTTAAAAAATTTAAACTATTTTTATAATTCCAATAGCTTATTAGCAAAATCTTTTTGACAACTGGAGATATATAGCAGAAATAGTAATGTAAGAATCATGGACGAACAGAAGAGTAATAAAGGGGTGGAGGTGAGGTCAGAATGAGGTTTTTAAGGGGGCATGATTTTGGAAAGTTGAGGGTCTGACTTGGGTAAATGATAGGCCCAGCTTGTCTTTTTTTGGAGAGAGACCGACTAAGGTCCCCTGGCCAGCCACACATGGGCTTCTCCTCCAGCACTAATGAGGGTGGGCATCTGGCCTCACTGACTGCTGTCTGGGCATCTTTCACCAGCATCCTGTGCTCCTGACAGAGGCGCCTTTAAACCCACGGAAAAACCGAGAACGAGCTGCTGAAGTTTTCTTTGAGACCTTCAATGTGCCAGCCCTCTTCATCTCCATGCAAGCTGTGCTCAGCCTGTGAGTAGCAGCCTGGCCCCTGAGGGGAAAGCAGTTCCTTTGGCATTCCTATAGGGCAAAATACCAGCTAACATAGGCTGCCATTATTAGGTTTTGCCAGCTTGACTTCACCACAGTTCACTCCATTTCTTGTCCTCCCAACACGAAGGCCGTGTGTCAACTGTTAAATTATCAAACATTATAAGGTTAACCCTCTCCCCCGCCATACCACAGAAGTATATGTCTGACTCCTTGTCTCTGCTAAATGAGAAAAAACTAAGGACAGACCTAGGGAATCATGTGGGAGAAAAGCTAGTTTTTGTGGAAGTGAAAATATTCTTGTTTTCCTTTACTCATTTACTTGCCCTGCCTAGCCCTTGTAGGCATTTGGGTTTTTTCCTTTGTCTAGAGAGTAAAATCTGCCCTCAGGCTGGGTCCATGAACCGTTGAAGGCCAGCCATCTCTTGAGATTGGAAGGCCTGCTCTTCTGGGCCTGGGCAGGGAGCTTGGAGAGGCTCAGCTCCTCTCATTCAGACCTTCCATGGCTTGCTTCAGTGCTTAGCATCCTTAGTACTCTGTCCAATTTCAGGGCCCTGGAGAAAGGCAGGCCCTAGCTTTAGTTCAGCTGACAATGAACTTTAAACAAAGTAAGTTTTTGCCCAGAGTAAGGAGGCAGGGGTTAGTGATGTTTGCCCCCTTTGCTTCAGTTATGCCACAGGCAGGACCACAGGAGTGGTGCTGGATTCTGGGGATGGCGTCACCCATGCTGTGCCCATTTATGAGGGCTTTGCCATGCCTCACTCAATCATGCGCATCGACATCGCTGGCCGAGATGTCTCTCGCTTCCTTCGCCTCTACCTGCGTAAGGAGGGCTATGATTTCCACTCATCCTCAGAGTTTGAGATTGTCAAGGCCATCAAAGAAGTGAGTGCTGCCCCGTGGGGCCAGGGATGGGCTAGGGGATGGGAACGGAGCATCCAGGACCTCCAGGACCTGGAGTGAAAAGAGGTGAAGCTCCTGTCCTAGGGGCCTGGGTCAGGCCTCCTGACAGCGTGAGACCTCCTGACACATGCACCTTCCCAAAGAGCTACAGTTTTGTAGGGGAAAGGGAGCTGCTTCTATTCCTTTGCTGGGTGATGGGTACACTGGTGATCATTGTTTTTCAGACCTTCTGTACAAATTACATGTTCTTTCCATCCTTGATGAATTCAGAATACATTTATCTTTTTAAGTAAACTGAGTCCTCCTGCACCTGGGGCTGTAGGGTAACCTCTGAGCTGGGGAGTGGGACCCAGAACCATATGAGCAATAGAAGAAGGATGCCTTAGTATGGACTAAGATTAGGCTGTGTTCTCAGACCCAGATCCTGGGAACCACATTTCCACACTTGCCCACCAGGAAGGTGGAATAGGTGGGAACTCCTATCCTAAATGCCATCTAGTGGACGCCAACGAAATCTCCCTGCTCCTGCTGTAGGGCAGCAGCCCTCACGACCTTTAGGGCAGTCACTGCGATGAGCAGACTTCTGCAGCACCATGTCAGTCTTCAGGGACTTTGACCAGGTAGGTGCCAGGTTTCCTGCCTGCCTGACTCGTGCTTGGTTCTGCAGAGAGCCTGCTACCTATCCATAAACCCCCAGAAGGATGAGACGCTGGAGACGGAGAAGGCTCAGTACTACCTGCCCGATGGCAGCACCATTGAGGTAGGTGACCGAACCCATGCCCTCAGGCCCCCAAAAGCTCTGGGCTCGAACAGAACTCTTCATGGGGAGGCTGGAGTCAGATGTCCCAGTCTGTCAGCCTGGCCTTGAGCAGTGGAGCTCTTGAGCAGCACCGTCTCCTGCCCAGCGATGAGTGCCAGGGACTTTGCTTCTCTTGTGTGGGGAGGAGGCGTTTTCCTAGGTCAGGATAGGATTAGGAAGAGGGTGGTTAGTGCTGTCCTTAACTACTTGAGGCTGAGTTGCCTCTCCCCAGACCTCCATGGATTGGAAGAAGTTTTTATGAGGGAATGAGTCCATGTATTAAGGCCAAAGGTCTCTGGGTTGGATAATTCCAGAGCTAGGATTAAGCACAGGAACTTCCTCTCTCTAGTTTCCTGGGAGCCCTGTTTCTTTTTGTTCCCTATTTGTTCCTAGGAATTCTATCTTTGTTCCTGGAGACCTTGACATCCGAGGTCTTTCCTAAGCCTGGCCTTCATAGCCACCTGGTTACTAAGAGGTGGGCCCAGGGGCCTCTTCCATCCCCAGTCCCACCTCTGAAGCTTGCCCTCCACCCTGCAGATTGGTCCTTCCCGATTCCGGGCACCTGAGCTTCTGTTCAGGCCAGACCTGATCGGCGAGGAGAGCGAGGGCATCCACGAGGTGCTGGTGTTTGCCATCCAGAAGTCTGACATGGACCTGAGGCGCACCCTTTTCTCTAACATTGTCCTCTCGGGAGGCTCCACCCTGTTCAAAGGTTGGTCTTTGCTCTTGGGCCCTTCCCCAGAAAGTTTCTAGATCCTGCTGGGCCCAGATGCCCAGAGAATTGACTTGCGATTCTCCTTTCTTGTCCATTCAGGTTTTGGTGACAGGCTACTGAGTGAAGTGAAGAAACTGGCTCCAAAAGATGTGAAGATCAGGGTAGGAGTGCGGTGCAGGCTAGGGCTCGGTGGGCTTCCAAGGGTCCATAGTGCCATATGGTATGCCCCCCTTTCCAGCTCTGCCCAAGCTTTTCAGGCTTTTACTGCCAGATGCTCCCATTTCCACCCTCACCCTGAGGCCTGCCAGAGTGGAGGACAAAGGGGGACAGTTCTAATACCCAGATGGCGCAGGGTGCTAGGTTGAGGGCCCCACGTGTGTTCTTCCAGGGAAACTGACATTGATAGATTGACTTTTGCTACTCCCTGTGACACAGCCCAACATCTTAGTGACTGCCGAGGGAGCTGGCCTGCCTGAGAAAGGAGGGGTTCTAAGTGGAGTGTGGTTCCTGCAGTGGCATCTCACCCCCAGATAGCCCCAGCCTTCCAGAAATTGTATTTAGGGCTGCGAGAGGCCACAGGGTCCAATAGGTCCACTTGGTCTGTTGTGTGAAATGCATCCACTGTCTTGGGTGGTGAGAATTAGCCATAAAGAAGAGAGTTGAGCCGAGACCGGTTTGGCTCAATGAATAGAGCGTCGGCTTGGGGACTGAAGGGTCCCGGGTTCGATTACGGTCAAGGGCATGTACCTTGGTTGTGGGCATATTTCCAGTAGGGGGTGTGCAAGAGGCAGCTGATCGATGACTCTCATCGATGTTTCTACTCTCTCATCAATGTTTCTAACTTTCTATCTCCCTTCTCTGTACAAAATCAAAAAAATATATTTAAAAAAAAAAAAAAAGAGAGAGAGTTGAAAGGAAAAGTGAGAGGAGTGGATGAACGTCTCAGATTCCTCTTTCTGCTCCTCTTGCAGATATCTGCACCTCAGGAGAGACTGTATTCCACATGGATCGGGTGAGTAGTTCTGGGAATAAGAGTGGAATAGGAAGCAGACACCCACGCTCTTTTCTCACAGTGGTCCTTTGGATTCCCTCTACTCCAGGGGCTCTATCCTCGCCTCCCTGGACACCTTTAAGAAGATGTGGGTCTCCAAGAAGGAGTACGAGGAAGACGGTGCCCGATCCATCCACAGGAAAACCTTCTAATGCTGGGACATCATCTTCATCTTTCTCTGAAGTTAACTCCACTTTAAAACTCGCTTTCTTGAGTCGGAGTGTTTGCGAGGAACTGTGTGTGTGCGAGCGTGTGTGCGTGTGTGTGTGTACAAGTATGTGCACCTATGCGAGTGCCGTGTGGCCCAGGGATCCCAGGGCCCAGAAAGGACGATGAACTACCCACGATGGTGATGGCCTGAGGCCTGGGGTTGACCACTAACTGGCCCTGACAGGACAGAATGCTGGCAGAGGGCTCCATTCCTTCGTCTCCTGGGCCTCTGCCTGGCTGTGCGGGACTGTTTACTGCCTACCATAAGGACAGAGGGAGGTAGACCTAACCCCAGGGAGACCTTGCTGCTGCCCATCCTAGGCTAGTTAAACACCCCGGCCCCATCCCCAGGGTGCCGAGGCCCAAGGCAGCTGCTGCCTTCCTTGTTCATCATTCTGTTCTTGATGCCTCTTGATCATGGATTGAGGACTGGAACTGGGGTTGAGTTCTATCTGGTTTTGATTGCAGTTTGGGTTTGGGAGGCTGGAAAGGAGGGCAGGATGCTCTTAACTTTACCTGGGGGCCAGGACCACACTGGGCATTTGAGGAAGGCAGGAGTAGTGCTACTTTTGATTGGCGGCAGAGTCCAAGTTCCAATCCCAAGCCCCATCTAGGGATTCTTGGGAGACCTTAAGGAGCCTCTTGGCTCCAGGCCATTACTTACTTTTCATCCATCCTTGGGCAATGCCATTTTCAAACAATGTTATTTATTTGTTTGTTCAGTATGGGAACTGGAGGGAGGGAGTTTATTGCCTCCTGCCCACCAGTCACCCTGTTCACACTAATGTTTACAGCATCTAAGCTTAGCATAGTCTCCAGGGCCCCGCCACTCCCTGCTAAGGGTGAACTGACAGTATCCATAGGCTGAGGCCATTTGGGATCTGAGGCTACACTCAAAGTCACTCCCACAGCCTTTCTCTCTCCCTCTTCCACTTGCTCACTTTCCTAGAATCCACAGGCTAGTTGCTGGTTGGATTTTCTGAAGTCGGTGGAAGAATCACTCCTTGGCAGAGGCCCTAGCAAAGGAGGGATGTTGGGGGAATCTAGCTCCCTTAGGATTGGAGAAAGAGCCGCAATGAACCAAGTTGCCTTTTCCCACTCTAGCTGACCTGAGGGGCTAGGTTATAGAGATGAGAAGGCCCCCTCTGGACTGATACTGTGCCATTCTTTACTTTGGACCTATTTAGTTAGCGAGGAGGCCAGACCCAGGTGCCAGGAGCTGGTGGGCCTGATCAGGTTCATCTCTGGTCCAGTGGGGCAAGCACGTACTCTGGACTGAGCTGGCCTAGCAGTGGTCCAAGGGCCCTTCAGCCCCGATGGTACAAAGCTGGGGCTGACCAACGTCCACCGGCACCCTCACTTGACACCAAGATCTGCCCCAAGCCCAGATTCAGGCAGTATTCTCCCCATGCCATCCAACGACGAAAGGCCCTTCTAGGTGTGGGCCCCGCAGCGGGTGTGTGTGGAAGCGATGTCGCGGCCCGCGGACTGCAGTGTGCTTAACCAGTTCACCTCCCTTCTTTTAGCCAAGCCTGTCCTTCACACAGCCTTGCCTGGTGGGGCCCAGTGTGCTTAAATAAAGTCCTTCCAACAGACACCTCAGCTGGGTTTCTGTCTAGTCAGTGCTGGGCAGGGAAGAGGGAGGAGCCAAGGTCCTGACTCTGAGGCCTCATCCGTCCTCTAGAGGGCACTGTTGCCCCAGCCAAACTTGGCCAGCTTTAGCCCAAGTGCCAGCCTGTCAAGCCCATGGGTGAGACCACCCAAATGAGGGGAGCAGAACTTGACATCCCTGAAGTCGGAGGTTCTCAAAACTTCTGTGTGTAAGAAGCTTATTAAAATGCAGTTCCTGAGGCCCATGCTCAGGTATTCTGATTAATCAGTTCTCTATTTTAATTCTATATACTTGGGGGGAAATTGCCCTGCACTTTACAAATGTTTAACCCATTTGATCCAACAACGTATATAGGATATTTTTATCACTCACTTTATAGATGAGGAAATAGAGCCACAGAGAAATCACGTAATTTCCCAAAGGTAGGGTTTGAACCCAGGCAATGTAGCTCTAGAGCCTGCATTCTTAGGCACTGTGAGGCCTCAACAAACCATTGGCCCAAAATCAGGTCAGTTTTGCCCTCCAGATACATTTGCCAATGCCTGGAAATGTTTGTCACAACAAGATGGGGGGGGGGGGGCGCAGGTGTGCTGCTACTGGCACCTAAGCAGAGGCCAGGGCTGCCAAGGCCTAGAACAGAGGTAAAATAACCACAGCTTTCCAAACCCCAGACCCTTGAAAGCAGAACCTTGGGAAACAGAACTCAGACATCACCATCTTTGAAAGCTCTCTGGTGTCTCCAAGATGGAGGGCTCTGGCCTAAGAGGGGCCACTCCTCCCATCACTGTGTCTGCAGTGGTACCTGGAGTGCCCTGGGGCTACGGCTGCATCCCAGGTGCCCCTGCAGTTACCGCTCCACAGATTCTCCCTGTTGCCTCTGTGACGGATGTGGGTGGCCACTCAACTCGCTTTGGAAAAGTGCTCTTGAGTGCTTTTCACATTAAATGGGTCATATTCCCCAACCCCACCACGCCCACACAGCACAGACCTCAGGAATGGGAACAGAATGACTTTAATCCGTTTGATGAGCCGACCCTCTTAGGTGGCCAGGTGGGCGAGGAGAAGCCCTGCAGCAGTGGAGGCAGCTACTTCAGGCACAACTGAAGCAGAGAACCAGACCACTGGGAGGGCGGAGGGAGGGGTGGGCTCCCAGTCAGCTTCCCGACTGGACGAAAGGCAGTATCAAAGTGGTTCCTGAGCGCAGTGAAGCCCCAGCCTCAGGCAGGCGGGATAGGCCTCTGTGCCCTGTGGCAACCCCAAGTGACCACAGGGCAGTCCCATCCCTTCTTGGTCCTTTTCTTACTCCTGCCCATAGGGGCAAGCAGTTCCCTGAGCAGATTTGGCACAGCTCTCGCCCAAGCTGGGCCAGATAGCCAAGCAAGGTCTTAAACCCAATGATCTCCTGGCTCAGACCCAGAAGCTCCCATTCTGCCATTTGATCTCGAGGCCGCACCCAATGAAGGCAGGGGAGCAGGACACCAGGCTGGCAAAGGTGGCTCCTGCCCAGAGCTGTGGGCAGTGTCCTCATCAGAGTGGCCTTGTTGCCCCTCTCACACTGTCTTAATGCCAAGGGTTTGGACTTGTGACAGATTCTGGCGTTGGGCTTTGACCATGCGCAGGCGTCTCCCATGCAGCTTGAACTTGGACCAGGTGAAGAGTTGCAGCACAGCACAGATGATGGGCACCAGCACCAGCAGGTAGAAGCAGCCCTCGCGGAGTGTAGGGGCCTGAACCGGGGGTGGGGCCGGGGGTTCTGGCCAGGGCTGGGCACTCACCACAGGGGTCAGTGGGGGCTGCTGGAAGAGATCGTGACCTACGACAAGAGCGCGTGCAGAAAGCACAGTCGGCCCTGTGCTCCTCTCAAGTCCACGGTGCCACACATACACACCCAAACACAGCCCCTGACTTCCACCCCAACCCTGCTCCTCCCTGTCTACTTCTCAGTTAATGGCACCAGCATCCACCCAATGGGCCAAAAACCTAAAAGTCTTCCTGGATTCCTCCGTTAACTTTAGCACGCCCCAACAGCCAATCCTTCACCCCCACCCCCCCCAACTCCAAAACACATCCCAGCCCCAAACACTTCTTCCCGGCCTCCTAGCACCATCTGCTCCAAGCCTCTATCGCCTCCGCCACAGCCTCCCTACAATCCACTCTCCATACAGCAGCCAGAGCCAGCTCTTAAAAAATCAGACCGTGTCACCCTCTGCTTAAAACCCTTCCAATAGCTTCTCTTTGAACTGAGAATAAAATCCAAACCCTGCCCTGCTCTCCAGAGCCCTCACCAACGTTTCCAGCTTCATCTAACCACGCCTGCTACCTGTGCCTTTGCACCTGTCACTCCTCTGCCTGGATCCACTGAGATCTTCGTAGGCCAAATCCTTCCCATCCAGTTCACGTCTGGCTGTCATTTCCTCAGAGACACCTTCCCAGGCCACACCGAGTAGTTTTTCAGACACATTACAATAAGTCCTCACTCAATGCCATCAGTAAGTTCTGTGACTCTTAAGTGAACAATGTGTAGTGAACCAATTCTAGCATAAGAGCATCTCATCAACATTCTAATGCAACAACACTGAACAAAACCCCATCTGTGAAGACTGGCTGTCTTTCTACTATTGCACTTACCACCATTTGCTATTTTCTTGTTTGGCTACATACCACCACATCCCCCTCCTCCCCAACGTAGAACATAAACTTCATGATGGCAAGGACCCCGTATGCCTTACTGTTACCTCCCTAGCACTCAGAGAAACACCTGGCAGAGACAGTATATACATATTTGTTCAATCAATGAATGAACTCTTGAAAGAAGAATCAGAAACCCAGCTTTTCTACTCATGGGGGAGAGGTGTGGCACCCAGGGTGATCCAGTTGCCATTCTCTCCCTCACCACACCTAAAGCCATTCTCGGGTAGTGTGCCAGGGAAGCCCCTTGCCAGCCCCTGGGCTCTCACCTGTGTAGAAGCACAGCAGCCAGGTGCCCAGCAGCGGGGCCAAGGTTTGGCCTGGCTTGGTCACCAGGGCCACCATGCCAAAGAGAAGCGCCGAGGCTGCCTGCTTGCGGCGGTTCAGCACCAGGTCCTCATCCACCAGGTCAGTGACCACCAAGGTCAAGAGCTTACAGGTGCCCTCCGTGAAGACACGGTTGCTGCCAGCAGAGAGAGAGAGCAGGCAAGAGTGAAGGGGTGCCAAAGAGGCGCGGGGGGCGGGAGGGCAGGGCATACCTGGCGATGAAGAGGCAGAGCAGGCCAGGGCGGTCGGGGCCGGCCAGAAGCATGAGCAGGCTCAGGCCCAGCTTAAGCAGGAAGAGCCCCCGCACCACGGTGTAGACACCCCAGCGCCGGCACAGGGGCAGGAAGTAGAGGTTGTTGAGGTGGGGGGCGACATAGGAGATGCCTGAGGAGAAGGGGTGCGGCCTTGTCGGGACACTGCGGCAGCTCCCACAATCGTCCACATTTGAACAATCGGAATCAACGTTTGCCAGGCTCTGCTGAGAGCTAGTTTGCATCCTTTTATTTAATCCCCACTGCCTTTTAAGGTTAGTAATATTACTATTCCTACTTCACAGGTGAGAAATGGAGACCCAAAGATACAAAATAAACACCCAAGGCCAAACAGTCAATAAGCACAGTCCGGACTCACAGCCGGGCCCGGCACACTGTGCCATATTGCTTCTGGGTGGCACCATCACCAAGAGGACCACTATGAGAGCAGCCCCGCCCCCTCCTACCCACCAGAGGCTTCCTTCCACCCGTTCCTCAGGAAAACAGAGCTGGGGCTAGAGGTGCAACCCACCACAGGTTCTGCCCTCTGCCACCCAGGCCCGAGCTGGGGAGTGGCTGTGCCTGCAGCTGGGCTAGGGGTCCTGGGGTGCAAGCCTCTGTCCTTCCAGCCTGCCCAAGACACCCACTCACCCAGCAGGAAGGAGCCGGTGGAGAGGGAGATGTGGTCTGCCAACAGATGCTCCAGGAAGAGCGGGAAGAAGTTGCTGTTGAAGTGGCAGTGGAAGACCTGAAACCCAACAGGCGATGAGGAGGCAGCCGGGCAGGAGCGGCCTTTATCCCTCCCTCAACAGGGAACACCTAAAACTAATTCCTGCTACTTACCGAACTTTGCTGAAAGTTAGGAATGATAACATTGTCATTAGAACAATTAAAGATGTTTTTCTTTTCAATTAAAAACACCTTCGTGCCGGGCCCGGTTTGGCTCAATGGATAGAGCGTCGGCTTGGGGACTGAAAGGTCCCGGGTTCGATTCCGGTCAAGGGCATGTACCCTGGTTGTGGGCATATCCCCAGTAGGGGGTGTGCAAGAGGCAGCTGATCGATGACTCTCTCTCATCGACGTTTCTGACTCTCTATCTCTCTCCCTTCCTCTCTGTACAAAATCAATAAAATATATTTAAAAACAAAACAAAACAAAAAAAAACACCTTCGTAAACAAGCTTAATGACATAAAAACTATTTGGCTAGCTTATATACTACCAGTGTTTTAGGTGTGGCTCTTGGTATTTTTACAAGTTTGTCAGAGTCCCCAGAGGGGCTGCCCTGAGAGGCTGAGTCTTGCCTAAGACTTCACAAGGAGTTAAGAGCTCAGAGGGTGCCCTATCCGGTTTGGCTCAGTGGATAGAGTGTCAGCCTGTGGACTCTAGGGTCCCAGGTTTGATTCTGGTCAAGGGCATGTACTTTGGTTGTGGACACATTCCCAGTGGGAGGTGTGCAGGAGGTAACTGATTGATGTTTCTCTCTCATCGACATTTCTGACACTCTCTCCCTCTCCCTTCCTCTCTGTAAAAAATCAATAAAATATATTTAAAAAAAAAAAAAAAAAAGCTCAGAGGGTGCTAGAACCCAGGTCTTCTACCTACCCAACCTGTGTTCCTGCCTTCAAATCACCCTACAGTCATCACTCGAAGCCCAGGATTTCCCAGCACCTGAGAAACCTATTCCACTGAGTGAGGCCTACGCTGCCCATCCTGGGTGGGGAGACTGCTCCCGTACCTGCACCAGGTCCATGAGCACGAACCACAGGAAGTTCCGGTGATGCGCCAGCTGCCAGAGGTACTGGCCCAAGGTGATGTTGCCCACTTCCTCTCCACACAGGCTATGGGGCAGAGGGGAGTCAAGAACAGCCTAGGGCTGGGCCAGATCCACCCCCGCCCCAGGGCAGCCACCCATCAGAAAGGGGATCAGCACTGAAATCGGGCTCAGAACAGTGCTGGCCACTCACCCGCTATCCGCAGCCAGCTCTGGACACCCTGGCTCCCTACCAGCCGCCTCTACCCGCCGCCTCAGCAGCCGTGTGGCCCCCACAAAGCCCAGCGCGGAGCCAACAGCCAGTGCCGCGCAGAAGGCACGGAAGGAAGAGAGGTCCTCCTTGTTCCAGAAGGTGTAGGAGGCAAAGACAGAGAGGGAACCAGCTGTGCTGAAGAGGGAGCAGTAGAAGTTGAGGTGGGTGCGGTCGTGGGCTGAGAGGGCCAGGTCGGCCAGCAAGGCGTGGTGGTGCAGGTCCACGAGCGTCAGGAAGCTGTCGTAGAGGCACAGGCACAGCAGGAACTGCAGGCCCGCTGGGGCCCAGGGCACCCAGAACGCCAGGAACGACAGCGCCAGCAGCGGCCCATGCCAGCCAAGTGCCCGCACCCGCGCCAGCACCACGGCCCTCGAGGAGAGCCCAGTGCCTGACCTGCCGGGGAGAGGAGGGCCGTTGGGAAGTGCCCGTGCAGCCTTGGGTCCCAGTTCCCCCTGCTCAGGACCCGGAAGAGGGTCAGAGGCCCAGAATGTGGGACTTACCCCAAGGTGTCCCACTGACCTTCGAGCCCTCAGCCTCCCATTAGGAAGCACAACTCCCCAGGGAGTACTCCCTCCTCTGCTCCCGGCCAGCCTGCCAGGGCTGAGGGCCAAAGAGGAGTGTGACACCACTTCTTCAGGGCTGGGGCAGTGATGGGCAGGGATGGGGTAATCTGCCGGAAGCAGCAGTGTGATGTACACTGAGCGCCCAGTCCCGAGGGACAGACAAGCGGACCTGAGGTCTATCTCGCCACAAGGTGATCAAGTCAAGGCCACTTCGCCAACCTGGACAGTCTGCCCTGACCTCGGGGAGCGGAGGAAGCCCGGACAATAGCTGAAAATGGTCTCCCTTTCCCTCCCCACCCCAAACACAGGTGGGGGGTCCTCCAGGCCTGGGGAAGGGTGGGGCGGGACAGGACCAGTGGTGAGCCTCCCCCAGGACACAAACCGGGGCTGGGAGCTGAGGAACTGATGGTCGCTCAGCCAGCCGAAGAGGGGGTCGTTGAGGCTGTTCCACAGGAGAAACACCGTCTGCGGGCAGAGGGGAGATGGGTGGGCTCCAGGCAGCTTCCTTTCCAGGATTCCCCTTCCCCGCCTGCTCACCACCTCTTAAAGATGACAACAGCTTTTCTGCCTGCAAACTCTGCTCAAGTCAGTCCCTCTGTTAAAACCCACTCTACACACCACTGCTCCCATCAAACTCCCACCTGGCCATGGCCCAGCTGATACGTTAATGTGTGTGACTACATAAAACAGTCCCTGGCTCATAGGACCGTGGCCAGAGCTGGTGCAATCCCCACTGAAGCGTCATCAAGGCCTCCAGCTCAGCTTTTTTTCTTGCTGAGCCTCAGTGGGCAGCCTGGCCTGCACCATGCTCCTGGCTCTGGGCGGGACCCAGCACTGCAACCTGCCCGCACCCCCTACCCCCACCCCCCAGCACTGGCCTACCTCTCCGACCCAGAAGGCAGCTTTGCTGATCTTGTACACTGAGACAAAGGTGTCCACATAGTAAAGCAGGAACACGTTGTGCAAAACGGTGACGAAGAGGGCCAGGGAGCCATAGACCGCAGCTGTGGGCAAGCCCAGCAGCCAGGCCTGGGGTCCGCCCAGCCCCATGGCGGGCAGCCCAGCCTCAGCCTAGGAGCGCTGAGACCCACTCGTGGCCACGTGCAGCCTGGCCATCCTTGTCCCTGGGGAAGAAGGAGCTCGTTAGCTGCAAAGATCAGAGCCAGCTGTGCTCCAAACCACAGGCCTGAGTTGTTTAAAAACTCATTTTCAACTGGGAGAAAGTTTTGCACGTAAAATAAAGTTGGGGAACTGGTAATGACATACAGCTGAAACAAGGCTGTGTTCGCTACGATGCCCAGGAGTAACCCGAGTAACCCAGGTGTGGGAAGCAAAGGCAGGCGTCCAACAAGTGCTGAGCCAGGTCCAACCTTGCTCGGGCTCTGTGCTCAGTATCTTCTTTCGTGGGCACCATCTGCCCTTCGTGATCTCTAGACGTTACAACCTTGGGCTTGGGCAGACGGTGTACCTACAATATAACTGCAAGCTACTTAAGCCAAGCCTCAGTTTCCCCTTCTGTGAAGGGAAAAGAGATGGTCGTGCTTACTCTGCAGAGAAACTTAAAGGATTAAATAAGGCAACTCAGAGAAAGTGCTCAGTAAATGGGTGTTGGCGATGTCATTGTTAGCTTTATAAAACCCCTACAAAGTGTATAGCACTATTACAATATTATAGAGCAACGCCAAGCTCAGAGACGTTAAGTAATTTGCTCAATGTCACACAGCAAAAAAAAAAATGTAGATTTGAACCTTGGTCTCTCTGGCTCCAAAGCCTTATCTGCCACTTGGCCTCCCAAATCGGCTTCCCACAAAACGGTTGGATAAAATGGAGAAAGCTGCTGAGATGATACAGAAGCATAAAAATGTAATAAGGGACACAACTGCCCATGCACTTTGATTCCAGAAATTCCTCCTCCAGGAGCTAACCCCAAAGGAATGTGACTAGAGATGTTCGTGGCAGCCACACTTATAAACAACAACGAATTGAACACAGCCCAGGAACACAACAAAGGGGCTGGCTCAGCAAGCTGGTGCTCTCCAGAAAGCGGAAGCACACGGAGAAACTCAACACGTGGGAGAGAAACCCAAGAACACGTTGCGTGAAGAGAGAGAACAAAGGACAGCGTGGTTGCCTGGTTCCCAACCAGGCCGATTTGTGCAGATGCTGGCTGACGGGACTCATCACCATGGGTGGGAAAGGAAATGAAAGTAGGATTTTTAATAGAGCACTGCTTCTCAAACTGCAATGTGCTTTCAGGTTACCCGAGGGTTCTGTGAAGATGCAGTTCCTTCTCAGAAGGTCTGGGGAGGAACCTGAGGTTCCGCATTTCTAACAGGCTCCCAGGTGACACCTCATTGCTGGCCCATGAGTGCACTGGAAACAGTGAGGCACTAAGTCCATCCTTTTTGTTAGGCTCAAAGCTGCCGTTCTCTTGTTAGAAAAACAATCCCACCCGTGCTTGACTGACCCCCGGCGGGAAGCTACGGGTGCTTCCTTTTCTCACACTCCCTGTTGTGAGTTCAACTGCACCCAAAAGATACGTTCAAGTCCTAACCCCCAGTACCCACCAGTGCGACCTTACTTGGAAATAGGGCCTTTGCAGATGTTAAAATGAGGTCATACTGAATTAGAGTGAGCCCTAACCCCATGACTAGTTTCCTCATAAGGAGATGGAAATTTGGACACAGAGACACACACACACAGAAGGAAGATGCCAGATGAAGACGAAGGCAGAAATTCGAGTGATGCAGCTACAAGTCAAGAAATACCAAGGATGAGGGCAACCGCCAGCAGCTGGGAGAGGCAAGGAAGGACGCCTCTAGATCCTCCTTCCAGAGGGACCATGACCCTGCTGACACCTCGATCTTGAACTTCTACCCTTCAGAACTGTGAGAGAATACGTTTTGGTTATTTCAGGCTACCCAGTTTGTGGTCATTTGTTACAGCAGCCCTAGGAGACTTATATCCACCCTTGGGGGCTGATCCTCTGTGACTCAAGCCTGCCCATGGGCCTCATCTACATGTCCTTGCACACACGCTCATACATACTCTCATACGTAGGACCTGTCCTTCCCCCATTACCCACCATGGCTCCTACTCGCTGCCCAGCCTTCAGGGGCCTCTGCTCTCTGGCCTCTCCCAGCCTGTCCAGTCTGGCCTGCCTTGGATCTTCAAGCCACCCACCCCTCTGGCCAGGCCTTTGTGCTTGCTGGAGCCTCCCACGAGAAGCACCGACTCCACCTCCCTGTCTCCATCTCACCCGTCCTTCAGGAGCCAGCACTGTGTCCAGGAGACCTTCTCCAACTCCCCTGCTGCCTTTTGCCCCTGCCCAGCTGACTCTCCTGCCTGCCCCCACTGCAGCCTGCCTGGGGGCCTTCGAGGACAGGGCCTGTGTCTTCTCCCTCTACCTACCGCTCAAGGAGAATGGGCTGAACTTGACACTTCTGCTCTGGGAGTAACTGACTGTTAAAGAAAGGGGGTCTGGCTGAAACGGATTTGGCTCAGCGGTAGAGCGTCGGGTCTGCGGACTGAAGGGTCCCAGGTTCGATTCCGGTCAAGGGCATGTACGTTGGTTGCAGGCACATCCCCGGTAGAGGGTGTGCAAGAGGCAGCTGGTCGATGTTTCTCTCTCATCGATGTTTCTAGCTCTCTCTCTCTCTCCCTTCCTTCCTCTCTGTGAAAAATCAATAAAATATATTAAAAAAAGAAGAAAAAGAAAAAAAAAGAAAATGGACATATACACAATGGGGTATTAGCCATAAGAAAATAATGAAATCTAAAAAAAAAAAAAAAAAGAAAGAAAGAAAGAAAGAGGGCCTGGCCAAAACCGGTTTTGCTCAGTGGATAGAGCATGGGCCTGCGGACTGAAAGGTGTCCCAGGTTTGATTCCGGTCAGGCTTGTACATTGGTTGTGGGCACATCCCCAGTGGGGGGTGTGCAAGAGGCAACTGATCAATGTTTCTCTATCATCGATGTTTCTAGCCTTCTATCCCTCTCTCTTCCTCTCTGTAAAAACTCAATAAAATATATTTAATTAAAAAATAAAAGAGGGTCTGATGGGAGAGAATCTCACTGGGGTCGCTCTCAGACTCATTGGAAGCCAAGTGGCTGTCACTCAAGAGATGTGTACGCACCCCCAACCTGCTGGCAGTCTCTGCCTAGTCGTGGAGGAATGAGAAAAGGAGAACCAGCCAAAACTACCTGAAACCACCCACTCAGTCTAGGAGAACCTCTCCCAGGCCACAATGGTCCTACCTTGCCCCAAAGCAGGAAGACGGCCAAGTGGCTTCTCTCTGGAACTTTGAGGCCCTGAAGGAACGGCTGGTGGGAAATGCTTTTCTTCCCTTTCACAGCTTTACTGAGGTCTCACTGACATACAATGATCTGCACATATTCAAAGTGTACAGTCTGGTCAGTTTTAACATGTATGCACCTGTGAAACCATCGCCACAACTGAGATCATGAACATATCCGTCACCCTACAAGTTTCCTTGGCACTTTCTACGTGACAGAGCTGAGAGAAGACACACTGGAGGTCTCCAAAGTCTGGGCTTCACTATCTAGTCCCTGTGTGCCCTGGAGCCATTTGCTTAACCTCTCTGTGCCTCTTTCTTCATCTGCAATAGGAGCCACCCTCCCTAAGGCTACTGTCAGTGGTCAATGAGTCCATGAGAAAAAAACTTAGCATGGTATGTATGGTGAGCACTATAGAGATTCTTACTACTAACCTCTGAAGCCAAGATTCAAAACTGGGGTATTTGACTAAAACATTTCAGCATTCCTCACGTCACCATGCCCACCTCCATTTTATCAGATCCTGCTGGTTCAAGGCCCAGGTTGGTGGCACCAGCCTTCCAAAGAACACCCAGTCAGGCGTTCTCTCATCTTTTCAAATCCCTTGGCTCCTGGATCAGGACCCCAATGCCTCCCTTATCCTCCTCCCACCTCCGATGGGCTCCTTAAGGGCAGGGCCAGGTCAGATCCACTTCTGATTTCTGCTCCCTGCCTCCACCAGGCTCCTTCGCCACAGTAGGTGCTCAACTAATACATGGTGGGTGGGATTTGCTTCTAAAAGGCCAATATGAGCATCCTCCAACCCTCGGGAAGAGCAGCACCCCCAGACCCCACTGTCTCTCTCAGTTTTGCCTTCTCCTTGGCTATAGGGAACCTTGTCTTCCTGCCCAGTGTCCCCACAGCAGGGCACAGCCAAACAGGGCCTTTGGGGGAACCCACACAGGTGGGCCTGCCCTCCTCTTCCTCCTCCTCCTCAGGCTGGAAATGGAATTTCATCTGATTAGGGGAGGGGCCTTCTCCCTCTCCGTCCCCCGCAGGAGCTCCTTATTCAGGGGCTGGCGCTGAAACACGAGATGGATCTCCAGCCTGTCTGCACGTTAAAAATCACCTAATCAATAGCACCCAAGCCCAGGCCTCACCCCTGACCAATTAAATCAGGATTTCTAAGGATGGGGTCCAGCATGGTGTTCCTCTGAAGCTCCCCAACAGGTTCTATTACCACACCTGGGCTAAGGGCCTTTAGGTTAATCAAATGGATCGGGCCCCAAGCATGCTGCGCCCCAGCCCCAGGGAGCCCCCCCCCCCCCCGTGCAAGGATTCCACGCGCCCAGGTTTCTCCCATCCTGACCCAAGGCTCTCCCAACCCACAACCTGGTCACCCCGGGGACCCCGCAGGCAGCACCCGGGACTCCCAGAGCGGACTGCACTCCCGCCCCCCTCCCGTCTGCCTTTGGGGTCCGACTGGCCCCTAGTCCGGCCCGCTCCTGCCCCTCAGCCCCGCCGCGGCCACCCCCTCACCGCAATCGTGGCAGCCGAAGCCCATTCCCGGCCGCCCGACACCAGGTGCCAGCCCGTGCTCCTGGGCGCCCAGAGCGGCTTCCCCGGCCCGTAGCCCCGCCCCCGCCCAGCGATTGGCTCGGCGCAGCCCCGGGACCGCCCAGCCGCTGGCAGGTGGGAGCCCGCGCCCGAGGCCGCTGCCGCCATGTTTGTTGTGGTCACTTGCCCTTAGGGACCACAAAGGAGTAACGTGGGAGAAGGGGCGGGTTGCCTGTTAACTCCGACCTGCTCATCCCCTTCTCAGTGCTTCACGTCCTTTCAGGGTGAGGTCAGAGTGAAGAAATAAAACGGAGTCCCTGTGGTCAAAAGGCTACATGACTAACATCAAAGTAGGCCGAGGCATGAGGAAATGATTCTAGTCTTGCTTTAATCGGCCTGGGAACTTAAACTTTTGAACGTTTCAGTTGTGCAACAATGCCTGGAGTATGGAAATGTGTAGATTACTCTCTCCCCCCCCCCCCCCCCCCCCCCGCAAACATTAGGAAAGAATGTTGAGTGTCCAGACCAGATTCTGACATCTGTGAGATTCCTATCTCGGATCAATCCCAGAGGCTAAGAGAACAAGGACTGATTCTTCTCAAGAATGTACTTTTTACTGTAAGAACTCTCAGCTTTTGTCTCTTACTAGGAACACTCTGGGTATTGCCTAATTGTACATGTATTTCCCACTTGCAAATCCCAAGACCATCAAATAAATCTTTATCGTTTATGTCTAGCCAAAGCCTCCTGATTTGTTTATAAACAACAAGTTTAAATCAATTCCCCTGTCCTTTAGCACTAAAGAATGAGAGCTCAAGCTGAAACCGGTTTGGCACAATGGATAGAGCCTCGGCCTGTGGACTCAAGGGTCTGGGTTCGATTCCGGTCAAAGACATGTACGTTGGTTGCAGGCACATCCCCAGTGGGGGGTGTGCAGGAGGCAGCTGATCGATGTTCCTCTTCTATCGATGTTTCTAACTTTCTATCCCTCTCCCTTCCTCTCTGTAAAAAGTCAATAAAATATATTTTTTTAAAAAGGAAAAAAGAATGAGAGCTCAAGGCTTGTCTGACTGGATGCACAGATGACACTGATAAAGAGATGGCAGTGGCATGACCTGGGACTCCCTAACGCTGGATTGTGAGCCCCTGAAGAGCAGACAGACCCAGCTTGAGCTGTGGGCACTGGCCCTAAGACAGCTACCATGAAGCCCAAACTCCTCCTATTAATAATAGTAATAATAAAATATAAGGAGAAATGAGCTCTCACACTGTGCCCTGTAATGTGTCAAGAACTCTATGTGCATTCTCTTGTTGAGTCCTCACATCATTTTTTGGAGGCAGGTGCCTATTATCACCATTTTTCAGATGAAGAAACTGAGGTTCAAAGAGATTCACTGACATTCATACAATAAACAAAGTGGCCAGACAAGCTGGATCCCCGAACAAGAGTCTTTCCTCTTCTTACTCCTGCAGGCCCTCAAAGTTTTGTTTTGCTCAGTCTAGTCTGGGGAGGATGACCCATGTCTTCTCCCACAGGCCTATAGGCTTGGTTAGGTTTCCAGGCAATCAAGCAGCACACACCCAAGACCTGCTGTTTCCCTGGAAAGAGGGCAATAAGCATGGCCTTCAGTTGCTGGGGAACCTGGACTCCTTTCCCTGGTTCCACTTCTTTGTGATGGGACCCCACTTCTGTAAGCCATGAGTATGCCTTATGAGGACTTTGTGGGCATTAAATGAGAAGCAGGGGCATAAAAGCCTTGCAAACTTTTGGTCCTTATGCCTTTGTTGATTGTTGTCAACAGGAATATCATTCTCTTCCTCCTTCCTGACATCCTGGTAAAGGGCCCGTTCACAGCAAATGGTCCAACACAAGAGCCCTGACGTCCAAGGGCCAGAGCATGTGCAACCAGGGATCCCAGGGCCTTGCCCTCAGAATTCATCTCCCACCAGCCTGTCTCATTTCCCTCCTTCCCAATCTTGCCCCTTCAAACCCTATTCTTACCTCCTAAGTCTCTCCTAAGCCAGCAATTGCAGCAACCCCTTCTGCTCCAGAAAGCTTCATGACTAGAAGGAAGGTGGCCATTTCTCCCATCCCTCCCTGACCTTCATCTATGCATTCCCGGCTGTGAGAATAGAGGACAAGAAACCCAACATTCAGCTCAGAGCCTGGCACTGCAGGGCCTCCGAAAAACGGATGAAAGAGGTGGCCCTGCCTTTCCATATCTGGCCAGCATGTGCCTTCATTCAAAGCAAACCCTGAGTCTTTACTTAGCCCTCCCTGGGTGTCCCACTGGGGAAGACTGCCAAAGGGTCAGAACTAATGTGAAGTAACAGGGAAGACTTTGGCTCCTGGGTTGCACTTGATGCCCTATGGGTTACACGCTGAGGCTTCCCAGCCATCCGGTTTTACAGTCAGTGTAGCCAGTTATCCTTTAGTGTTGTCACCTGGGTTGCGCCTTGTGCTTATCTCCGATTTCCCTTCCTGGTTGCCAAGCACAGAGCTAACTAGGAGGGGACAGGAGGTGTGACTGAGGTCATACTGCTTGCCTGACTTCTTGAATGATATCAGAGTTCCTGGATCCTGGTACAGATAGATGCACAAACAAAAATGTCTTTGTTTGAAATTCTCTCCTTCCTTGCCTTCCAACTTCTCTGCCCCAGGTTCTCCTCCTACCTAACAACTTCTCAGTCTCCTTCACTTTTTTCTAGCGCTTTCTAAAAGTGGAGGGAGGGTCCCCCAAATTTCCATTTTCAACACTCTCTCTTTTAAGAACTCTGTGATTTTATTTTTTAATATATACTATTTTTTCCATCAACATTTATCACCCTATACCCTCCTCCACCTTCACCCACACCCATCTCCCCCACCACTACCACCACCACCACCACAATCACCACACTATTGTCAGTGTCCACAAGTTCTCTCTTTTTCCCCCCTCAATCCCTCCCCGCAAGCTCCACCCAGAGCTGTCTGAGTCAACAGAAGGGGGAAGGAAATGATGGTGGCCTGGCCTCGCAGCAGCTGGGAGAGGGCACCAGTTTTAATCATTCAGTGTTTACTATCCACCCACCGGGGAAGAAAAAGGCGGGGGAGTGACTGGAAGCAATCTTTCTGGCTTCCCCCAACTAGCTTCTGGGCTTTAGAATCAGGGTTCAAATCACTGTGCTACTTACCTACCAACAGCGAGCCTGGGAAATGGCCTAACTTCTCTGAGTTTCTGGTTCCTTATCTATGAAATGAGAATGATATCACCATGTTCTGCACACGATTATTAAGAACTAGAAGTTCTGCCTAGCCAGAGTGGCTCAGTGGTTGAGCGTTGACCTATGAACCAGGAGGTCTCCTTGGATTCCTGGTCAGGGCACATGCACTGCAGGCTGGATCCCCAGTAATAAGGGTCGTGTAGGAGGCAGCCAATCAATGATTCTCTGGTTGATGTTTCTCTCTCTCTCTCTCTCTCTCTCTCTCTCTCCCTCTCCCTTCTTCTCTTTGAAATCAATATATATATATATATATATATATATATATATCTTATATATATATATCTTATATATATCTTATCTTATATATATAAATATATATTATATATCTTATATATCAATATATATACATATCTTATATATATCAATATATATACATATCTTATATATATCAATATATATCATATATATATATATATATATATCTTAAGTTTTTATGTAACATTGTAGAGCAGGAGGATGGTGAGATAGCCACAGCATGGACTTGAGACAGACATGAGATTGAACTGGCCCCTTTACCATAACTGGCTGTGTGAGCCTGAGCAAGTTGTGGTGAGGGTATCACGGAGTACAGGGCTCAACATCCAGGTTACTGTGGGCACAACCAGCAGGCTCATTCAGACTGGCTAGCTCCTGGCCAGCTCAAGGTGTTTCCCTTTGCCTGGAAACGGGAAGGTGTGGCTGAGGCACAGGGCCTGCAGGGGAGCAGCTCAACTAAAAAGCGGGAGAGGAACCCCTGCCTGTGAGGACCTACTGGCCCTGGCTGAAGGAGGTGAGTGAGCACTTCTGGGCTAAGGGCTTGCTTGAAAAGGTGTTGGGTCCTATTGTGTGCTGGGAGGGCGGGGTTCCCACCCAACCCTGGGACGGGGTAAGGTAGGAGTCAACATCTTAGGAAGAGTTCCCTAAAACCAGGAGGCTAGTTCAGCCCCAAGCGATGACCCAGAGCCCTTGACTAGCGGGTCCCAGGGACTTAGCTTCTGTTAATAAGAACGAAGTGTACCCGTACACACCCCCCTACAGGTCTGGACCGGGACCAGGCCCCAGTGACAGCGCTGCCGCCTGAGCTTCCGGCCATGTACGCCTACAGCTGGCTGGCGCCCGGGCACGGCGCCTGGCCGCCCCAGCAGCCCCTCGCCTACACCTACCTGCCCGGCCCCCTGCTGCTGCCCTGCATCCGGGCCCACACCGTCTGCGGCCGGCCTCCGGCCCCGGGCGCCGGCGGCTGGACCGCCCCGCGGGAATACCACACTTTCCACGGCCCGGGCGCGCCGCCGGGGCCTGCGCCGCTCTGCTGGGCCCTCCCGCCGGCCTCCGCCGCGGCCCTGGCCCCGCCGCTCCCGGCGCCCGGAGACCCGGGATCGTTGGCACCGGCGCCCGCGGTGACGGCGGCCGCGAGCCGGGCGCCGTGGCCCGAGGGCGGCAGCCTGCGGGCGGAGCTGCGCTGGGGCCGCGTGGAGCGCGCGTGGGGCGCGCGCCTGGCGCTGCCGGACCCGGTGCGCCGCGAGCTGCGGCGCGCGTACGGCACGTTCCCCCGCACCGACGTGCGCGTCACCTTCCGGGGCGGCGAGTTCCTGCTGGAGGCCGCGCCGCGCGTGGGCGAGCCCGAGGTCCGCGCGCGGAGGCGCCCGCCGCGCCCGCCCGCCGGCAGCGGCAGCAGCGACAGCAGCGACGGCAGCGACAGCGCCCCCGCGCGGGGAGCGGCGGAGCGCGGCCGCCGGGAAGCGGGCAAAGGCCGGGGCTGAGGGGCCGCGAGGGCGGCCGGGGCACGCGCGCCTCTCCTCCGGGGCGAGGAGGAGGACCTCGGCTTTGCACCGGGAAGGGTGCACCTGTCACCTGTCTGCTTTTTATTATTATTTTTTAAAATATATTTTATTGATTTTTTTACAGAGAGGAAGGGAGAGGGATAGAGAGCTAGAAACATCGATGAGAGAGAAACATCAACCAGCTGCCTCCTGCACACCCCCTACCGTGGATGTGCCCGCAACCAATGTACATGCCCTTGACCGGAATGGAACCCGGGACCCTTCAGTCCGCAGACCGAAGCTCTATCCGCTGAGCCAAACCGGTTTCGGCTATTATTGTTTTATTATTATTATTATTATTATTATTATTATTATTATTATTAACCAACACTGCCCCCGCCCCTCTCCTGCACCACCTTGACTTCTCTCCTGTTATTGCTGGATGGTGGGGAAGAGCGAGGAGGGACATCACTGGGGGCGGGGGGGGGGGGGGGTCCTGTTCCTCTTCGCTTTTACCTGGACATGGGAGGCCTGGGTGTGGGGTGAAGAAGGGCCTGCACCCTTTGTTTCCCCTCCTTCTCCTCCTCCCCATCTCTTCCCCTCAGAAGCCTGCAGTGAAACCCCCATTTCCCCTTTCTCTTCTCATCCCTCTAGCAAAGCTCCCCGAGGTCCCCAAGCTGAGGGCCCGCCTATCTCCAGCTTGTAATGAAAAATAAATGAACGCAGTCAAGTGTATAGTGCGAGATCATTTGTATGTTTGGAGGTGAGGTGTTTACTGTGTAATGGGAGCCTTACTTCCCTGTCTGGGGTTCAAAGAGTTGTGAGGGGTTAGAGTGGCCCTCTGGGGAAAAATGTGGCTCCTCACTAGCTGCACCCAGCCGCCCCTCCGTCTCCCGCCCCCCCCCCCTTCCCTCATCCCCCAGAGAGCTGCTGAGGGCATAAGCTCTTGTTGAAGCATAGGTGGCAGGCATGGCTGGGGAGGCGATATCTAAGACATAGACAGGGCTGGCGCTGACAGTTTCTAGTCATACAGAAACTGAGCCTTAGTTTCTTTGTCTGTTACAGAAGCATAAAATCAACCCAGCCTACCTGGAAAATTAACTAGGGCTGCAATTTAAGTTCCCTGATTCTTGCTGATAGTCTTTAATAAGTTGAATTTGCAATATTTGTGAGAGTTTGTTGGAGGTTTAGGTCCACAGATCCAATTTTTTAAATATATTTTATTGATTTTTTTTTTTTACAGAGAGGAAGGGAGAGAGATAGAAACATCAATGAGAGTCATCAATCAGCTGCCTCCTGCACGTCCCCTACTGGGGACGTGCCTGCAACCAAGGTACATGCCCTTGACCAGAATCGAACCTGGGACCTTTCAGCCGGCAAGCCGATGCTCTATCCAATGAGCAGCCACAGATCCAATTTTAACTATGGACTAGCCAGACCACCTGAGCTGATATACCTCGGCTGTATAAATGTGGCTTCTTGTGGAATTGCTTTTACTGGACTTTCATTTGTAAGTGGCCAAGGCTGCCTGGGTATTTAGCTATGTTATTGAAGCTATAGATCATCTGATTGAACACTGCTGTGTCTATGAGGAGCTTCATGGAGAAGTTCCTGAAACCTCAGCACTTGGGAAAGGTTTCTTCTGGTGTTTTTTGTTGTTGTTTTTTTGTTTGTTTGTTTTTCGTTCATTTGTGGGTGTGTGTTTTTTTTTTAATCTTTGAAATACCAAGTATCTCAAAACTGCTCATATTTTTCCCTCTGCCTTGGTTTCTAGGGAGCTCCAAGCCAAGTTTTCTTGCATCTTTTGTACAAAGCCACAAAGCCTGGATCCTAATTTGTTATTCCTAGTTTCATCTTATTTTCCTTTCCTTTTTTCTTTTTAATTATAAAACATAGAGAGGTGATTACAGGCCTTCTGTGTGACCTTAGGTGAATTACTTAATGTCCCTGATATGATGATCGCAAATCGATATGATGGTATTAGAACCTATATCATAAGGTTTTTGAGAAGATGTCATGAAATTCTGCACATAAAATGTTTGCCACAGTTCTGTTCAGTGGTTAGAGCATCAGCCCATGCACCAAAGGTCAAGGGCACATACCTGGGTTGGGGGTTTGCTCCTCGGCCTAGGAGGGCACATTCGAGAGGCAACCAGTCTGTATGTCTCTCACATCAATGTTTCTCTCCCTTCCTTCCACTTTCTCTGAAAAGCAATGGAAAAAAATATTCTTAGGAGAGGATTAACAACAAAAATGTTTACCACAGTGCCTGGCAGATACTAAATGCTCAAATATTAGTGATTTTTTAAAACTTTTTAAAATATATATCTTATTGATTTTTTACAGAGAGGAGGAGAGGGGGATAGAGAGCTGGAAACGTCTATGAGAGAGAAACTCTACCAGGGATGTGCCCGCAACCAATGTACATGCCCTTGACCGGAATCGAACCTGGGACCTTTAAGTCCGCAGACCGATGCTCTACCACTGAGCCAAACCAGTTTCGGCAAATATTAGTGATTTTTTAAAAAAGTTTGCAATAAAAAAAATATAGAATATGGGAGGTTAAAAATCTTTTCTACTATCCCTCACCCCCAAATGATCACTGGGATCCAATCTATTTTTTTCTTTTTTTTTCTTTTTTTTTTTTTTTTAATATTTTATTGATTTTTTACAGAGAGGAAGGGAGAGAGATAGAGAGCTAGAAACGTCGATGAGAGAGAAACATCGACCAGCTGCCTCTTGCACACCCCCCACCGGGGATGTGCCCGCAACCAATGTACATGCCCTTGACTGGAATCGAACCTGGGACCTTTCAGTCCGCAGACCGACGCTCTACCATTGAGCCAAACCAGCTTTGGCCCAATCTATTTTTTTCTGTACACATGGTATTAATTACTTGAAAGGAACCTCACTGTTTTTGCCACCTGCATTTTATATTAAGTATATTTTGGACATCATTTCATGTCCATGCACATGGAGCTACCTCATTCTTTAACATCTCCCCAATATTCTGTAACATTTGAATTCCTTCCAGTTTTTAGCCATTGAAAGTCCATCTGATAAATTTCTTGAGTGCCTATTATTTGCCAGCAATTTGTACGAGGCCCTGGGAGACAGTAGTGAATAGACAGTCTCTGCACTTATGGAACTTGCATTTTAGTAGGAACATATAGGGATGGGGCAAAGAATAAAGGGAAATTTCATAACAGTGAAAATAGGGGTTGAAATGGACAATGCAAGTGGAGTAGTGGAACTTAATTAGAATGAGGTAATCAGGGAAGGCTTCTCTGAGGAGGTAGCATTTAAACTGAGATCTACAGAGTACGAAGAAGCTGGCCCTGCAAACAGAAGGTGAGGGGGAAGCTGGGCAGAGGGTAGGGTGGGTGCCAAAACCACAAGTAGTGACATTTATCTTCATTCATTCAACAGGCATTTGAGAGCCTACAATAGGCCAGACAGTATTTGAGACACTGGGGCTACAGGCGAAACCCAAGTACGTCCTTGCCTTCATGGATGGATCTTAGATTGGACTTTAGAGATGCAATGTACAGAAACAGAGGATGACAATAAGCAAATGGGTGCATTTATGATGTAATGTCTGATAAGTGATGGAGTGCTGTTTTCAGTGGGATATTTAGAGAAGGCTTCTTTAAAGAAGTGACTTTTTTCTCTTTTTGAGAGAGGAAGGAAGGGAGAGGAAGAGAAACATTAATGTGAGAGTGGAACATAGATCCACTACCTCCTGCAAGCCCCTCACCAAGGATCAAGCTTGTAACCCAGGCATGTGCCCTGACCAGGAATTAAACCAGCAACTTTTTAGTGCATGGGACAAAGCCTAACCAACTGAGCCACACTGGCTAGGGCTTAAGAAGTGACTCTTGAGTGGAGACAAAGACCTTTGCAAACCATTTGAATACCTGGGGGAGAAAAGCAGGTGCAACAACCTGAGGCTGGAATGATTTTTCCTGTGAGTGAATGAGTGAAAAAGTGGTAGTTAGTGAGATTAAAAATCAAACTAGATCCTATGGCACCTTGAAGCCATATTGAGAATTTTGGACTTTATTCTTAGGGGGAGAAGGTTGTGAGCAGGAGAAAATGTAACCAGACTTAAAAAACTATTCTGGATGTTGCATGAAAGAGAGACTGCAATGGGTTTTTAAAGTAATACAGGCAAATAAGATGATGATGTGGTCATATTTGGAAGTAGTGAGGGTAGTAGTAATGAGAAAACAAATAACTTTGAATATGCAGCTTGATCACAAACACAAGTGTTAAATTGTAGAATATAAGTCTTCAAATAAGAAATTGAATCATTGAACAATGACTCTCTAGTAGCAACAAGCACAGCCAGCTCCCAGATCTCTGATTCTAAATTCCACTCTCCACTAAAAGGAGCAAAGTCCCTTGGAAAATGGTTCAGTGGATAGAGCATCAGCTCACAGACTGAAGGGTCCTGGGTTCGGGTCTGGTCAGGACATGTACCTTGATTGCAGGCTCATCTCCAGCCCCAGGGCCGGGTGCAGCAGGCAACCAATTGATGTGTCTCTCTCACATATGTTTCTCTTTCTGTCTCTCTCCCTCCCTTCCACTTTCTCTAAAATTTAATGGGAAAAAGAAAAAAAAATTTAAATGGGAAAATATTGTTGGGTGAGGATTAAAAAAACACACAAACAAACAAAAAAGCCAGTTTGAAGGGACTTCCACTAGCAAATCAGGGACAATGTAAGCATCAAAACAAATAGTCACAGGAACAGATTATAAGCGGAAATAAGTAAGGATGCATAAGTCTATACTAATATTATCTAAATAAATAAATGTGAAAGGAAAGCTGTTCCTTACAGTAGAAGGAATAATGAAATTAGAAATTTACCATTTCCAACCATTACAGTAACTGATTCAGATGAGAATCATTCATGGATACTAAAACAAGTAGGTGGGCTCTAGCCGGTTTGGCTCAGTGGGTAGAACGTAGGCCTGTGGACCAAAGGTTCCCGGGTTCT